AATTTCTGTTCAATTAGAATGAAATAATGCATGTCAAATTTATCTTTGGTGAAAACTATAAAAGGAAATAATTTGAAGATTTTTTTCAAAAGCGAATATTTTGGTCCATGTATACCTTTACATACAATTTTATATGCTTTTACTTGACATTGTATTGTTCATCCCTTGCCATGTTTCTGCATGGTTAGTATTACAAGTATCCTTCACCATCCCTATCTGTTTAATTCTTCAGTTTTGATAGTGAATTTGGATGTCTCAGAGTACTGCCTTATTTGAATTTATTTGATTACCCAAGTGGATAGCAAATAGTATGATAGTGAAGGAAGTATCCAAAAATATATTCAAATATATTTGGCTCCTGAATTTAGATTGTGAGATTTTTTGGATATGAGAAATTTGTATAATAAGGGATACCTATATTATCAAAGGGTATTGTACTGAACCTGTTGTAATGGGTTCTTTTGATCACAGAGAGCAGAAACCCAACTCGAAGTGGCTCAGGGAATAAAAAGGAATTGATTGGCACACTTAAAAAGGCAATTCAGTGGTTGAGTTTATCAGAGGCACAGCTAGATTCAGTGGCTCAGTGTTGTAGGCCTTGCTGTGTGTTGAGTTCATTTCTTTAACTGCAGAGAGGCTTCTTCTATTCATTCAGAGAATATGGCTGCCAGTAGCTCTAGATTTACATTTTAGGTTAGCAGTCCTAGTAGGAAAAATAAATGCTTCTTTCCTAATAGTTACAGCAGATTTTCAATAGATTGTCCCAATAAGCAGCCATTGTCGGTAGGGAGAATGGAATAAACTGGTTGGCCAGGCCTGCGTCTCAGCTCACTGGAGGATGAGGTCAGTCCATTCAAACTGTGTCAAATGGCAAGGGAGGAGGTCTTCTGAGGAAAAACATAGTACTTTCACCAGAAGAATGTACAGAGTACTTACTGATAAACCAACAGATGTTGACATACCTATGCTGTAGTGTGTCATAACGATAACTCATTTCTTCCATCACCGTTTCTTTAGTTGAAATACTATAAGATTTTTTTCTTTTAGCACCAAATTTGGCTTTTAGTTGCTGTTGATCTACCAAAGGTTAAAACTGGGCTCTAATGGCCTATCTAGTGATGAAGATAGCTAACGTGCACTCTTAACACATGTTAACCTGAAAAGCTATTTCATAACCCATCCTTTTACTCTTGTTTTTAAATTCTTCCAGAAAAAGTCATTTTTTCTTTCCATAAGAGTTACCTGTTCACCTTTGACTTAAATCTTATTTAGTCTTGTTTACCAAAGAACCTTGGCCCGTTAGACCTTCATTTGTTTTAAGTTTTTGGTGTCTGCTTCTCTGTTTGATTCTATTTATAATCATAAAGTTATGTTCTCAAGCCCTCTAACTAATAAACATTTCACTCATACTTCTTCTCCTTTCTCCTATAGCGGATAGGAGAACACCTGCTAGTCTTACTTACTTGCCAGTCTGTCACTTCCTGTTTAACTTAAAACGGGCTTAAGAGATATTTAACTCAACTTTCTTTTTCCATTTTGCTTGAAGTTATTTTGATTATACCAACTTTCTTTTGGCTAGAATTTACATGTATAGCTTCTTTTTTTAAAACCTTTAGGTTCTGTATCCTCCTGTTATATATGTGTGTCTATTGAAATCAGCACATAGGTAGATTTTAAAAGTCTGCTCTGACAATCTTTTGTTTTAATTTGAGCATTCACACTTAATATAGTTACTTATATTTAGTTTGCTTTCTGTTTGTTCTGTCTGTTCTTAAATGCCCCTGTTGCCCTCTTTTGAATAGCTTATTTTTTATCATCCCATATTTTCATTCTGTTACTTGTGAAGTTATGTTTTTTCCTTATTTTTTTAGTTGTTATCCTAGAATAGGGGTCGGCATCTTTTTCTTTTAAGGGACACATAGTAAACATTTTTGGTTTTATGGACTATATGGTTTCTGTCATAATTGTTCAGTTCTGCCAGTATAGTGCAAAAGCATCCATAGGTAATAGGTAGTAGTGTGAATTGTAGAGAGTTAGATGTAATCAACGAGACAAATGAGCACTGGTTTGAGACCAAAAATTGGGGGAATATTTTTATCTTTAAAGTGAGATAGTGGAAGAGGAACTGTAAGAGTGAGTCAAAAAAATGAACCTATCAGGAAGATTATAAGGAAAATAATTGTAATGTGAGGGCTGTTTTTAGAACGAGAGGACGGCCACCTTAGTCAAATGCTACAGTGTAGTGTGTTAAGATGAGGTTTGAGAAGAAACCTTTGGATTTGACAGCTTTGTGGTCATTGGTGACATCTTTAAAGAACATTGGCAGTAGCTTGCTATGCGGAAAGAGTGGTAAAGGGGTGGAAAGTGGAAATATAGACCATTGTTTCCCAAATGCTATTTTCTGGATCTACAACAAAAGAATTGCTTTGTTTTTCCAACCTCAGAACCATTTTGAGGCCTAGAAATGTATATTTTAAAACTGTTTCCCAGATGATTCTGATAAACACACATGGCTTGCTCTCAAGATGTATTTATGAGTGATATTTTAAAAAACCTTTTGTGGGGGGAGTGTGCTACAGAGCTTGTGGGATCTTAGTTCTCCATCCAGGGATCGAACCTGGGCCCTCTGCAGTGAAAGCATGAGTCCTAACCTCTGGACCACCAGGAAATTTATGAGTGACATTTTGAGAGAACCCCTTTTTTCTAACACAAAGCAGTGACTGATAAAATAACAAAAGGAGATAACTGAATTGACATAAATGGAGCTCAAAATAAGGCAAACATTTCTATCTTGGAAAGAGAGTGGAACACAGGGCAATGAATAGGGCTTATGGCTGGGAGCTTTCAGGGAACACAGCTGAGGTTTTGGCCTCTTCAAGATAATACAGAAATGTCACTGGAATTGGACTAATTGTTGGTAACCACGAGTCCAGGGTAGGTAGGACTCCTCTATTGAAAACAGTATTTCTGAGTTTAGTTCTGGGGCTGCCATCCTATTCACCTTTATAGGTGAGTTATGCAATATCCTGGAATAGTACAGGGAACAACCTGTGTGACCGGAAGGAGTAGTTTTGCTGCTTTCTGTTGCCAGAGGCCATAGTTTATATGAGGCTTTGGCCTCATATAAACACAAACATAGCTTTCCAACTAAAACCCTCCTGCAGGACAGATCTGATTTGAATAGACTGACTGTAAGAAAAATATTTATGAGATAACTGGGAAAATTAAATGTCAGTCATATTAAAAATGTTAATTTAAAGGTTAATAGTATTGTAATAGTATTGATTAGTAGTGTTAAAAAAAGTAGTAAATAATGGATTCTCGGTAAATGTTGGTATGAAAAACAAGTCTCTCATCAGACTTGTTTCAGATCTCCTGATTTGAATAAATCAAATCACTTCCATCAAAAAGTGTACCTATAAAGCTAAATTCTCAAACTAATTTAAGTCATCTAATGCTGAGAAAAATAAGAAATAAAATCAACAATCATAAGTGCAGTTCACTCTGATGACATTAAACTATTATTCTGGAAAATATCCAGTTATATAGAATGTTTAAGGAGGTAGTAAGCAAGTAGTATCTCTTAAAACAATTACGAAATTTAAACTGAAAAAAGATTGGATGAATATGAAGATAAGATAAACCTTAGGAGTGAAACAATGTGATTATAAAAAACAACAACATGGTGTTTATGAATGGGAAGTCAGTAGGATGCCAGTTTTTTCCAATATTGATCTATAAAATCCATCAAAATGCCAAAAAGTTTTTTCATTGTAGTCGATACACTGATATTTAAATTTTTTATGGTGGTACATAGTTAAAGTAACATTAAAGAGTAACAAATTGAGGTGATATGCCCTCCAGATTTCAAAGCTTATTATAAAGCTGTACTAATTAAGATAGGCTTACTGTTGGTAAATAGACTAGTGAAAAAGATTACAGAGCCCAGAACAGATTGATACTTATATGGAATTAGCCACATGGCAGAGGTAGCGTTATGAGTCAGTGGGGAAAGATGAGTCTTCATTGTGGTGCTGGTCCAGTGGCTAATCTGAGTTTGATTTGAAAATAATTCTGAGCCCTGTCTTACAACATACATGAAAATAAGTTCTGTATGCATTAAAGACTTAAATAAGAGAAGTAAAATTTTGTTTTTTTAGGAGAAAACATAGGATAATAACTTTATATCCTTAGGATAAAGGAAGATTTAGAAAAACTATACCAGGAGATAATAGTATATAGGTTTTAGAGCCAGACTGCCTGCTTCAAATCTCAACTTTATCACATTTGGTCAAGTTATATAAAATTTCTGTGTTTTTTCTTTTGTAAAATGATGATGATTAAAAAACAACCCTCAGGGACAGCTTGTGAATTTTAAATCAAATAATTCATGTACAACGCTTTGAAAAATGACTAGTACAAATAAACCCATAATAAAAGTTAATTGCAGTTGCTAATGTTGCTTATTAGAAATAGTAACCTGTAAAGGATTGATAAATTTATCAAAAATATAACTTCTGTACAACAAAGGGCAACATGAACAAAATAAGGATAAGCTACTGAATGGTAGCAGATATTTGTCATTCATCCAGCTGAAAATTGAATATATAGGGTATATAAAAAGCTCATTCAAATTAATAATGAGAAGACAAAAAGGGGAAATTAAACAATCATAGCCCTAATGGCAAGTGATAGAATGTGTTACCCCTTCTCAGTGGTCATCAGGGAAATACAATTTGAAGTAATGAAATATCTTTTTACATTTCTTATATTGGCAGAAACTCCAGTCTGACAGTACTACCTTTTGGTAAGGAGGCAGAGAAACACAACCTTTTCCTAGGTGACTGCAATAGTCAGTTGATAGAACTACTATGGAGAGCATTTTGTTAGTATCTAGTATAGTTGAAGGATTCTCTCATTGTTTTGTTGGTTGTAACTCCATCTAATTTAATTTCTGTTTATCTGATCTCATCTTTTTACTGTTTTTACTTTCACAGATTTTTGCTTTGTTGGTGACACTTTCTTGGTTTTGCTTTATCCATAAGAGCTTTTGGATATATGGTGATTAGATTTATGTGATTGTTTTGTCCATCTTAATTCAGTCTTCAGTGATGCTCTTTTTCATATATAAAGAAAGAAGTTGATTTTGAGCCCATTATACAGAGTGAAGTAAGCCAAAAAGATAAAGACCATTACAGTATACTAACACATATATATGGAATTTCGAAAGATGGTAATGATAACCCTATATGCAAAATAGAAAAAGAGACACAGATGTACAGAACAGACTTTTGGACTCTGTGGGAGAAGGTGAGGGTGGGATGTTTCGAGAGAACAGCATCGAAACATGTATATTATCTAGGGTGAAACAGATCACCAGCCCAGGTTGGATGCATGAGACAAGTGCTCGGGCCTGGTGCACTGGGAAGACCCAGAGGGATCAGGTAGAGAGGGAAGTGGGAGGGGGGATCAGGATGGGGAATACATGTAAATCCATGGCTGAGTCATGTCAATGTATGACAAAAAGCACTACAATATTGTAAAGTAATTAGCCTCCAACTAATAAAAGTAAATGGAAAAAAAAAAGTTGATTTTGATCCCAGGTACCTACCTCAGAAACATTTGACATAGTAGAGGACAAATTAATTATTATTTTTACTTTTTGGGTTTTGAATTATTAATGTAACAAAAAATTGAAAAATTTTAGGCTGCTTTAGAAAGTGTCCTGGTTTGGACAATATATGAAATACTGTGGTCTCAGTTATACTGTTTTCATGAACTGTTCCTATTCTAAAAGAAGAGTTGGGTTTTTTTTTTGTTCTGAAAGATATAATCAACATAATTGTTAAGCCTCTTTTTTGTGTAATATGACTTCTTAATGTTTCACATCTTTTTTGTTGCAGTTTTCTTGCCATGAAAATGATTTGCGCAGTCCTGAACACATACCATCCATGCTGATGGGACAGGATCCAATATGAATATAAATGATGGAGGAAGACGACGCTTTGAGGATAATGAACATACATTACGCATATATCCTGGGACAATTTCAGAAGGGACAATCTACTGTCCGATTCCTGCCAGAAAAAACTCCACGGCTGCTGAGGTGATTGACTCACTTATAAACAAGCTTCATCTTGACAAAACAAAATGTTATGTTCTAGCAGAGGTAAAAGAATTTGGTGGAGAAGAATGGATACTCAATCCAACAGACTGTCCAGTTCAGCGAATGATGTTATGGCCCCGCATGGCTCTGGAAAATCGCCTGAGTGGAGAGGACTACCGTTTTCTTCTAAGAGAAAAAAACCTCGATGGATCAATTCATTATGGTAGTCTTCAGTCATGGCTACGGGTAACAGAAGAACGTCGCAGGATGATGGAACGGGGTTTTCTTCCACAGCCTCAACAGAAGGACTTTGACGATTTATGTAGCTTACCTGATTTGAATGAGAAAACTCTCTTAGAAAACCTACGAAATCGCTTTAAGCATGAAAAAATTTATACCTATGTTGGCAGTATTCTAATAGCTATTAACCCATTCAAATTTCTTCCTATTTATAACCCCAAATATGTCAAAATGTATGATAACCATCAATTGGGAAAACTTGAGCCTCACATTTATGCTGTGGCTGATGTAGCTTATCATGCCATGCTTCAGCGCAAAAAGAATCAGTGCATCGTTATTTCAGGAGAGAGCGGTTCTGGAAAGACGCAAAGCACAAACTTTCTTATTCATCACCTTACTGCCCTCAGTCAGAAAGGATTTGCCAGTGGAGTGGAACAAATTATTCTTGGCGCTGGACCAGTACTTGAGGTAAGTGTGTAGAAATAATTTTTCTTAAACATATCTTTAAAAAAATTAAAATTTGTTAGATGTGAGAAAATGAAATAAAACCGAATGGAAATACAGACATCATTTTTTAGTTACCAAGGAAAACTGGAAGATAGGAAAGTGAAAATGACAGTGTGGAAGATTGAAAGATGTAACGGTGGCAGTATTTTTTTCAAAGAGTAACTTTGGGCCATAGTGATGCAGAGGAAAGAGATAATTGGAGTCAGATATACCCCCCTGTAAGGGGAGATAGCAGGAGCAGGACTCCTGTCTGTAATTGACTATGGTAATGGGTATTTGGGGAAAATATTCTTGTCAATGTATTTTTGTCTTTGCAGGCTTAAAATCTGTGCCCAGGATTGAAATTCTAAGGGTTCATCTTTGAAAATGTAGAGAATATGGAAAAAATTTTTTAATTATGTTTTAATAAGTAATACCATCCAGGGTAGAGAGGAAGCAGACTATACTATTTTTGTTTTAGAGCTTAAAGGAGAGTTAATATTACTTGTTTTGAAAGAGTTTTTGTGAGGTGTAATTGCACAGATTTAAAGTGTACACTTTGATAAATGTGATATATGTGTATACCCATTAAACCACCAGCACAATTAAGATACTAAACATACCCATTATCCCTAAAATTTTCTCATATCCTTTTGCCATGCCTCTTTCTCACTCCTCCTGCTCCTCTCATCTTCAAGAAACTTCTTATGTGCTTTCTGTCATTGTAGGTTAGTTGGTACATTTTACAATTCTGTATAAATGGGATCATGTAGTATGTGCTATTTTATGTTTGACTTCTTTTACATGGTGTAATTATTTTTTGTATGTGTCAATAATCCCTTTTGCTAAGACAGTATTCCATATTCCATTGTATGGATTTACCACACTTTGTTTATTCATTCATCTTTTGATGAATATGTAGGTTGTTTCCAGTTTTTGATTATTATACATAAAATACTATGTTTTTGTGTGGACATAATCTGTTTTTTTTTTTCTTGGGTAAACGGCTAGGAGTGGAATGACTGGATCATATTATGTGTGTTTATGTATTTTAGTCACTAAGTCATGTCTGACCATTTTGCCACCCCATGGACTGTGTAGCCCACTGGGCTCCTCTGCCCATGAATTTCCCAGGCAAGAATGTTGGAACAGGTTGCCATTTCCTTCTCCAGGGAATGGTCCTGACCCAGGGATCGAAAACTTATGTATAAATTGTACATACTGCTTTACATTCCCACCAAGCAGTGTATATAGTTTGTGTTATTCCATATCCTTGCTAACTTTTGATATAGTCATACTTTCTAATTTTAGCCTTCAAATAGGTATACAGTGGTATCTCATGATTTTAATATGTATTCTATAATACATTCATGATGTGAACACCTTTTCATGTGTTTATTTACCACTTATATATCTTCTTTGGTCAAGTGTCTGTCAAAATCTATTGCCCAACTTGTTATTGTTGTGTTTTGAGAGTTCTTTGTGTATACTGGGTGCAAATCCATTATAAAACATGTGTTCTGAAAATATATACACATCTTCTCCCAGATTTTAACCCTCTCTTTTTTAGAATTTAAATTTTAAAGTTTTCATAATGAAGTAAGTTGATTTACAGTGTTGTGTTAGTTTCTGGTATACTGGAAAGTGATTCAGTTATATATATCCCTGGTGGCTCAGATGGTAAAGAATCCACCTGTGATGCTGGAGACCTGGGTTCAGTCCCTGGGTTGGGAAGATCCCCTGAGGAGGCATGGCAACCCGCTCCAGTATTCTTGCCTGGAGAACCCCATGGACAGAGGAGCCTGGTGGGTTCCATGGGGTCGCACAGAGCCAGACACGACTGAGCGGCTGAGCATGCACGCACATGCGTGCACACGCACTCTTGTTCGCATTCTTTTCCATTATGGTTTATTACAGGATATCGAATATGACTCTTCATATATAATTACAAATAATACATAATATTATATTCATATTATAATCTTCTAATATGATTATACTGTAGGACCTTGTTGTTTATCTGTTTTATGTATAGTACTGTGTATCTGCTAACCCCAAAGTCCTAATTTGTCCCTCTTTCACCCCCTTTTCCCTTGGGTAACCATAAGTTTGTTTTCTATGTCTGTGAGTCTGTTTCTTAGCAGTGAAAAGCTTAAGAAAAAATCATGCCTAGGACCAGATGGATTCACTAATATATTCTACCAAACATTTAAAGAAGAGTTAACACAAATCCTTCAGAATTCTTCCAAGAAATGGAACAGGAGGGAGGAAAAGTTTCTAATTTTACAAGGTCCAAAATATTTCACTGATACTAAAATTAGACAAAGACACCACAACATAAGAAAACTACAGACCAGTATCCCTTGAAACAGAGAAATTCTTAAGGAAATACTAGCAAACTTAATTCAGCAAAATATAAAAGAAGTATACATTATGATAAAGTAGGATTTATATTAAGGAATGAAAGATTGGTTAAACAACATAAAAATAAATACATTGTTAAACATTAATAGACTATAGGACAAAAGCTACAGCATTGTCTGAATAGATAGCAGTAAAAGCATTTGACAAAAAACACCCTTTCATGATTAAAACAAGTAGACAAAAAAAAGACACACTCTCAACAAACAAAAGAAGGAACTTTCTCAATCTGATTAAGAACACCTATTTATAAAAATATAGGTTAAAAGCGTACTTAGTAGTAACGCTTTGATCAGAAAGAAGATACAGATGTCTGCTCTCACCATTTCTTTTTCCTTTTCTTCTCTTTCTTTTATTGAAGTATAGTTGATTTGCAGTGTTGTTTTAGTTTCTTGTGTACAAAAAAGTGATTCAGTTAGATACATATATACACACACATATACGTACACATACTCGTGATTCAGTTAGATACATATATACACACACATATACGTACACATACTCTTTTTCATATTCCATTATAGATTATTACAAGATACTGAATATAGTTAATTCCCTTTGTTATACAGTAAGACCTGGTTGTTTATCTGTTTTACACATAATAGTGTTTATCTGCTAAGCTCAAATTCCAGATTAATCCCTCTCCAACCCCTTTCCCGTTTGGAAACCAAATATTTTCTGTCTATGTCTGTGATCCTGTTTGTTTCATAAATAAGTTTATTTGTGTCATATTTTAGATTCTACATATGCGTAATAACCTATGATATTTTTCTTTCTTTTTTTGATTTTACTTAGTACAATACCTCTAGATCCATCTGTGTTGTTGCAGAAGGCATTATTTTATTCTTTTTTATGACTGAGTATTGTTCCATTGTGTATATATCAATTCAGTTCAGTCACCCAGTCATGTCCAACTCTTTGCAACCCCATGGACTGCAGCACGCAAGGTTTCCCTGTCCATCACCAGCTCTTGGAGCTTGCTCAAACTCATGTCCATTGAGTTGGTTATGCCATCCAACCATCTCATCCTCTGTCATCCCCTCCTCCTCCTGTTTTCAGTCTTTCCCAGCATCAGGGTCTTTTCCAGTGAGTCAGTTTTTCACATCAGCTGGCCAAAGTATTGAAGTTTCAGCTTCAGTATAGTCCTTCCAATGAGTATTCAGGACTGATTTCCTTTACGATTGACTCGTTTGATCTCTTTGCAGCCCAAGGGACTCTCAGGAGTCTTCTCCAGTACCACAGCTCAAAAGCATCAATTCTTTGGCACTCAATTTTCTTTTTGAAAATCTCTCACATCCATACATGACTACTGGAAAAACCATAGCCTTGACTAGATGGACCTTTGTCATCTAAGTAATGTCTCTGCATTTTAATATGCTGTCTAGGTTGGTCATGGCTTTTCTTCCAAGGAGCAAGCATCTTTTAATTTGATGGCTGCAGTCACCATCTGCAGTGATTTTGGAGCCCAAGAAAATGAAGTCTGTCACTGTTTCCATTGTTTCCCCGTCTATTTGCTGTGAAGTGGTAGGACCGGATGCCATGATCTTCATTTTTTAAGCCAGCTTTTTCACTCTCCTCTTTCACTTTCATAAAGAGGCTCTTTAGTTCTTTGCTTTCTGCTGTAAGGGTGATATTTTCCACATAGCTGTGGTTATTGATATCTCTCCCAGCAATCTTGATTCCAGCTTGTGCTTCATCCAGCCCTGCATTTCGCATGATGTACTCTGCATATAAGTTAAATAAGCAGGGTGACAATATACAGCTTTGACGTGTTCCTTTCCCAATTTATAACCAGTCCGTTGTTCCATGTCTGGTTCTAACCATTTCTTCTTGATTTGCATACAGATGCCACATCTTTATCCCTTCATCTGCCCATAGATGTTTGGGTTGTTTCCAGGTCTTGGCTCTTGTAAATAGTGCTACTGTGAATACAGGGGTGCATGTATCTTTTCAAATTAGATTTTTCTCCTGATATATGCTGAACAGTGGGATTGGTGGATCATATGGCAATCTACTTTTAGTGGGAAAAAGGCTGCTCTCAGTGAGTGATGACTTCTTGTTAGGTCAAATAAAGATAGCCCTTTGAATGAGATTTTCTAGGAAAGTGCCAAATAGGTCAAATTGTGATGATTATATATGGGACAGGGCTTTGACTTTAGTCTGATCTTTCCAGTAGCTTCTAGGTGAGACTGCTTTTTGAAAAAACTGTAACTGTATGGTGTTGGTTTTCTTTTCATCATGGAGCTAGGGAGAGGGAATTGGTAATCAGGTAAGTTAAAATGCCATCAGTGCTTGCTTTTCTTACTGAAATCCAGCTGTTTTCCTTGATTAAATAGTCTTCTTACAAGGGATTACTCTAAGCCTTTCATTAACTTCTAGAATCATCAAAAAGTTGATTTCGACAATTTTTGTTCTTTTATGAAGGGGAGGGGAATTTCAGAGACCTTTACCATTTTCTCTGATCTCATCCTTAGTAATCTTTTCAAGAGATCTAAGTAATAAAATGTATTTTATATATTTACTCGTGTGGTTACTCTTTCTGCTGTTTTCATTCCTTACATGGATCTGTATTTGAACATGGTGTCATTTTCCTTCTGTGTGAAGAGTTTCCTTTGTTTCTGTTAGTGTGGGTTCACTTAGGATGAATATTTTCACATTTGTATATCTGAAATTGTCTTTTATTTGCCTTTGTTTTTTAATGTTTACTTTTAAAAGTAGAGATTAAAATAAAAAACACCTTTACAGTAGAGTTGTGTAAATGATAAAACATACTCGTTTGTGTGACCATCTGTATGCAGTGTCTGTGCAGAGTAGTTCCACCGTCCCTGTAGAACTCCCTGATGCTTTTCCTTATTTTCATGCTCTCTGTCCTTCCATACTCCCATTAACTTGCGGAGACAATTTGTTCTTTCTTCCTTCCTTTTTAAATGTCATATTAATGAAAACATACAGTATGTAATGTTTTAAGACTGCCTTCTTTCATTCAGCAGTATGTATTGAAGATTTCATTTAAGTTGTTGAATATGTGAGTTCAACTGTGGGTTCTTAAATTTCAATTTTATTGAGATATAGCTTGAAATAATATATAGCCACTTAAATGTATGGTTTAGTGATTTCTGATAAATGCTTATGCCAGGTAACCACCATCATAGAATCAAGTTATAGAATATTTTCATTACCCCTTGTGTCCCTTTTTTAGACATTTTCTGCTCCTACCCTATTCCCAGACAGCTTCTAATCTGCTACATGTTACTCTTGTTTTGCCTTTTCTAGAATTTCATGTTATAATATATACTCTTGTGTGTGGTTTCATAGCATAACGTTTAATATTTATCACTGTTGACATCTGTCCCAGTAGTTTCATCTTTATTGCTAGGTAATATTTCATTGCATGGTGTATACTTTGGGTTATAACTTAGGAAGCTTATATATTTTTTTATTCCATATAGAATAGTACTGTAGTTTTGTTTTAAATAGGCAAAATACAGTATAGTATATTGCATGATGAAACTTTATTTCTTTTATACAATTCTAAATTATAATTGTTTTGATGTAATTATTCTTTTCCTAGGCTGTTATTTCAGTTTAGCAAGATTTTGAAATGTATATATGTCTTAAATATATATAAATGTATTAAGAAAATTTGCTGGCATTGGAATATGAAAGTGAAATCTGATTTGTAATGAGCAATAAGTTTCTACAATTAAGATTTATTTTACTCAGTAGCATAAAATGCAATCTACTTGACTTTATTGCAGATATTACTTACTTTACCTGAAGTATGAGAGCCTGAAGCTATAAGTGAATTGCTTTTCTAGTATCTCTTTAGCACTTTTTTCTTGTTGAGGTGATCTAAGGATTTTCCATTTTTAAACAATAGAATTGATGAGAACTATTTATTTTGACAGGCCTTTGGAAATGCAAAGACAGCTCATAATAACAATTCAAGTCGTTTTGGCAAGTTTATTCAAGTAAATTACCAAGAAACAGGCACTGTACTTGGGTAAGTAGCAGTATCAGGCTTTGGAGATGTTTAAATGTTTGCCTTTGCCCCTTTATAACTCATAGGTTTTTTGTTTGCTCTTTAATGAAAATAGTGACATTAGTATTAAATTTGTTTTCTCAATTATTTTTTTCTTTTGGAAAAGTTCAAACATGAGCAAAGATCTAAGACTAGTGTAACATCCATCCACCCTTACTTAGATTTATAAATTGTTAACAACTATATGCATTTGCTTTATCTTTCTTTGTTATGTATATATTCATTCTAAAAAAATTGTCTTTGAGTAAGTTGGGTACATAACTTGACCCCTTGAAATAATTACTAATTTCAATAAATAAATAAATAAATAATTTCCTAAAGCAGCCATAATGACATTTTACTGTATATATTATATATATACTGTATATATTTTATATTGTATATATATAATATACTCAGGGTATTTAATTTTGTCATAGTTATAATTTTTGCTATTACAGTCTGTGATCAGAGTCCTCCGGTTGTGCCAGCAATATCTTTATAGCTTTTAAAAAATTAATAGACTATTTTTTAGAACAGTTCTAGATTAGTGACAAAAATGAATAGAAAGTAGGGAGCATTCCCTTACGCCTCTTCATGCTATCCCCTAGTTTCCTCTGTTGATAATATCTTTATTAGTATATTCCATTTGTGTTGTTCATTGAATGGGCTTTGATAAATGTATAGTTTCACTGCCCTAAAAATTCTCTGTGCCCTATGTGTTCATCCCTTCCCACCCACTAACCTTTAGCAGCTGCCGATCTTTTCACTGTTTTAACAGGTTTGCCTTTTCCAGAGTGTCACATAATTGGAAATTATATAGAATATCATCTTTACAGATTGCATTCTTTCTTCCTTAGCAATATTTATTGAAGAATCTTCCATGTCTTTCATGGCTTGGTTTTATTGGATTAATAAATTTTGGAGTAGTAAATATCTTTATCGTGTTTAGATATGTTTTTTAGTTTTTTAATATTTCTTATTTGGTTTATTCCTAAATATTTTTAATGTTTTATTTTATTAAAAGTGTGATTTTTCTCTTACATTATATCTTCTAAAATTGCACGTTACTTGTATGTGTTAGTTGCTCAGTTGTGTCCAGCTCTTTGTGACCCCATCAACTGTAGCCTCCCAGGCTCCCCTGTCCATCGAATTCTCCAGGCAGGAATACTGGAGTGGGTAGTTATTCCCTTCTCCAGGGGATCTTCCTGACCCAGGAATTGAACCTAGATCTCCTGCACTGCAGGCAGATTCTTTACCATCAGAGGCTCAGGGAAGCCCCAATTACTTCTATTGATTTTTATATTAATTTTATATCTTACTATCTTGCTGAATTATTGTTTGTATTAGTTTTACTGTTGGCTGTTTCTCTTACCATTTCTAGGTTTATTATATTATCTGCTAAAATAGTTTAACTTTTTTTTTTGTTCTTATATCTCTGATTATTTTCTATCTTGTTTGATTACATACCTCCTAAACTATGATAATATTGTTCTAGATACTTGTGTGAATGCCTTTACTTTTCTTCACTAAGTAGAATATTGGCTTTGGGACATTTTATCATGTTAATAAATTAAGCATTGATTTTAGTTTTCTTTGGGTATTTTTGTCAGTAATGGATATTGAATTTTATTAAAGGCCTTTTTGGTATCTGTGGAAATTAGTCTGATCTTCACTCTTGAATTTATTAATATTATCATTATCTTCCCAATATTGGATCATTTTGCATTCCTGAGAAAAGATTCTCATTTGATCAATACAAAGACACGAACACCTACAGACGTACACATACAGACATATTTTTATACATACATATGTAAACTGGTTGTTGTGTTGTGTGCTAGTTTTTATTTATGGTTTTTATATCCATATTAATAAGTACTGTGTACTCATTCTCTATGAGAGTTCTTCCTTACGTCCTTTTTCCTTCTTGAATTGAATCATATCTCTCTTTTTACATTTATAATATTCTGGTCGTTGCTCTATAATAAATCCTGTCAGCTCTATATGATAGCTGTTAGTTTGCCTATTTTCTCCACTAGTTTGTAAGCCCCTTGAAAACAGGTAGTATATCATTTGAAAACAGGTAGTGTATCACTTATTTCTGTATCTGAACAGTGCTTACACAGTGCCCAATTAATGAGTGCTTACTGAGGAAATTGGCAAGCTATAAACACATTTATTCCAGGATGTGGCAACAGCATGGATATGTAAAGGAAGTATAGCTTTGAGCCTTATTTAGTAGCCTAGCCAAAGTATAATATTTGAAAGAACGTACTGTGGTATTGAGCCTGGGAAGAAAGTAAAGTCTGTGTCATTGTAGGGTCTTGAGTGCCATGTTTTGAACTCCTGACTTTATTTTGCTTTATGGAAAGTTAAAATAAAAAAAAGGAATTTATGAATTTAACATGGATAACCTTAACAATGTCCATAACACAATTATAATGGTAAATATCCTCTGGAAGGCAGCTATGCTCACCACTGTACCACCAATAATAGTGGAAAATGTACTTTGAATAGTATTCTTTAGACTTTTGCATCTTTTCTAATAAAATATTTGTCTACCTTACATTAGGCTTTTATTACTTATATCAACCAATTCTATTTTTATTACAGTGCCTATGTTGAAAAGTATCTACTGGAGAAGTCTAGACTCGTTTATCAAGAACATAATGAACGGTACGTATTTTAATTTGTATAATTGAGATCGTAATTAAATTGAGTGTAACACTTGTGTCATGCAGATTGACTTTTCAGATCTTTGTGTATTGTGACTTTTAATTCAGTTTATACCATGCATAGCTTTACATATAATTGCTATTTCTGTCATGGGAAGAATACTTTTGAAGATGCTGTGAGATATTTTTAATGACTATATCGAACTGTTGTCTTTTCTAAATTCTAGGAAGACTATCAGAACAGGAAAATAGTGGTGTCTTAGGTGATATCTTTTGTTTTGTCTTTGGATGTTTTGCTGTGTCTTAGTGTTCTTTCTCTAATTTGAGAAAAGTTTTTTATAAAGCTCTTAACTTTATTATAATCTTTGAGGTATATGGAATTTCAAAGATTATACATATGTAACTTCCTTTAGATGAGGAAGCCAAATATAAGAGAGGTAAATGATTTGCTTCATGTTACAATGAAACAAAATGAAGAGCCAGACTTTGAAGTTAAACAAGCCTACATTCAAGTATTGGATATCCGTTTGGCATCTCACCTAACTTCTCTGCTTCTTAGATACTTTTTCTTATTTTGTAGATGGAAAACTATCCTTTAGTCATTTAGAAGATTAAATGAAATAATGTTTATGAAATGCTTAGTGTAGTCCTTTTATATAATAAAGGTTCATTAAGCATTATCCTATGTTACTTCCTCTATACTTTGTGTTGTTTTGTTGTACAAATGTTTATAATAGTAGACTCATCAGTATAGATTTATAATTGTTGCTTTTTGCCAATGTCTAGTTGGAGGGGAAAAAGCCTTACTAACAACACAGACATTTATACTATCTTTTATAATATTTATCTATGTAGTTACTATTACTGATGCTATTTATTTCTTCATGCTTAATTGAATCTTGTCTTCTTTTATTTCAGCCATAAAAGCTCCTTTTAGCATTTTTTATGGGGTCCATCTGTTAGCTGTGAAGTATTTAGTTTTGACTTATCTGGGAATATCCTAATTTCTTCTTCTTTTTTTTTTTTTTGGAGGATAGTTTTGCTGGATATATAATTCTTGATTGTTTTTTCTTTTAGTACTTTGAATCTGTTTTCCTTTCCATGGCTCGTGATGAGAAATCATGTGGTAATCTTACATTAGGATCCCTTGATGAGGCATTTCTCTCATGGTGCTCTGAAAATTTTGTCTTTGTCTTTCAGTAGTTTTAATTTGTCCAGATGTGGATCTCTTGAGTTTCTCTCTCATGGAGTTCATTAAGTTTCTTAGATGTAGAGATTAATGTTTGTCATCAAATATGGGGGGACTTTGATCATTATTTTTTTCAAATATTCTTTCTCTTCTGCTTTTGGCACTCCCATTGTGCATAAATTGGTGTTCCATACTGTGCATTTGTTGGTGTCTGTTTGATGGTGTCCCACAAATCCCTGAGACTGGTAATTTTTCTTTCTCTTCCTCAGACTAGCTAGCTTTAACTGACCTTTTTTCAAGTCCACTGATTCTTTCTTCTGCCTACAAATCTTTTGTTGAGCTCCTCTAGATGGGTTTTCATTTTATTATATTTGTCAACCCTAGAATTACTTTCTGATTTTTTTTTTTATAATTTCTGTATATTCATCAATAGCTTCTATTTGACGAGACATCATTCTCATGCTTTAAGTTCTTTAAACATGGTTTTCTTTAGTTTTCTGAATGTATTTAAAACAGCTAATTAAAAGTCCTATCTAGTAAGTTAATGTCCAGACTGCCCCAGGAACAGTTATTATTGATTGTTTTTTCTCCTTTGTATGTGTTAGTTTCTGGTTTCCTTGTATGACTCAAATTTTTTGTTGAAAATTGGACATTTAAAATAATAATTGGACTTTTAAAATAATCATTTGGCAGCTCTAAATATGAGCTCCTCCCTCTCCCAGGATTTGTGGTTGTTAATTTTGTTCTTGCTGTTTGTTTTGTGAATTTTCTGAGCTAATTTGAAGTCTGTAATTTTTTTTTTAGTTTAGCCATTTAAGTACTTGCTTGGTTAACTTGTTTTTTAGTCACTAAGTTGTGTCTGCCTCTTCTGCGACTCCATGGACTGTAACTTGCCAGATTCCTCTGTCCATGGGATTTCCCAGGCAAGAATACTAGAGTGGGTGGCCATTTCCTTCTTCAGGGGAATCTTCCCTACCCAGGAATCAAATTTGTGTTTCCTGTATTGACAGGAGGATTCTTTACCCCTCAGCCACCACGGAAGCCCTTGGTTAGCTTCTCAGTGGTAGTTAGTCAGCCATGTCCAAATCTTTGTGATCCCTTCGGCTGTAGCCTGCCAGGCCTCTCTGTCCATGGAATTCTCCAAGCAAGAATGCTGGAGTGCTTAGCCATTTCCTTCTCCAGGGGATCTTCCTGACCCAGGGATTGAACCTCAGTCTCCTGCTTTGCAGGCAAATTCTTTACCATCTGAGCCACCAGGGAATGATTGAACAGAGTTCCATAAATGGTTGGTAACAGTAAGTCTTCTAGTGTTTGTTTCAGGGACCATGACTTTTAACTCCTAGGCAGGCATTTTATTTTTTTGCCTTAGTCTTTACTTCCTGCTTGTGCAGATCTTCAAAGTAAGTGATAGGTGAGAGCTTAGTATTTTCTCTTGTCTTTGATGAGTAGACATGCAGCCCTGGGCATGGGCACAACTTTATGTATGCATAAGGCCTTCTAGACTCCCAGGAACATATTGGAACTTTTTAAAACCTCTGCAGATGTCTCATTTCCCAGCATTTCTCTTCAAGTTGTTTGGTTAGCTTACTGTTTGCTTTAATATTTATTCATGGGTTCAGGTAGCTAGTATGTTCCAAAAAATTGCCACTAATTGTTTCTTACAAATGTCTCTGGAACACAGATTTTCATACTGGGGTAATAACTCTTAATCATATCAAGTAAAGATATCAATAGTTTTGAAAATGACTTCACCCATGGAACTACCAGACAGTTCAAATAATGATATTTTTCAGGGAATGAGGTTCTTAATGAACTTCACCCCTGTTCTGCCCTCTTCGGGAAGCTGCCAGACTTCTGGTGTCCATCTCAGTTGTAAGCTGTTGGTATTGAAAACTACATGTATCTGGTAAGCAGAAGATGGAATAGGGCAAGTTAAAAGGCCACCAAGGTTCTGTTTATACTGAAATGCAGCTCTTTTTCTTGTGTAAACACTCTCTAGATTGCTGTACATTTTTGGTTAATTTCTAGAGTTGATTCTGACAAGTTTGCTAGTTTTCTAATTGGTCCTGTGGAGAGAATTTTTGGAGGTCTTTAGTGTATTCCTGATCCACCTTTGTCTTTTGATTCGGCATACAGAACATCATCTTATTTTGTACTGCTTACTATTCGGCTGTCCCTGTGGCTTGTGTAATCTTAGTTCATCTACCAGGGATTGAACCTGGGTCACGGCAGTGAAAGCACTGAGTCTTAACTACTAAACTGCCAGAGAATTCCCCTGTAGTATTTCAATATTGAGTTTATCACCTTTGTATTAAAAAAATGAACCAAAGCTGAAACAGTTTACAAATTAATTTCTTTTTCTTGTTAAATGATAACCATAGACCATGTTCATTATACTTCTTTGTTTCCAACAGGAACTATCATGTATTCTATTACCTTCTGGCAGGAGCAAGTGAAGAAGAGAGATTAGCATTCCATCTTAAACAACCAGAAGAATATCATTATCTCAATCAGGTGAGAGTTCATGAATATCATTTTGAAATGTAAGGCATTGTTAAATTTTAGCTCTTGAGAAAAGTTTTTTTCCCTAGTACTTTGTTTCTGAAACCTGGTTGATAGTGGATATTAACTAGCATTTTCATGTATACTATCTAAAAATTTATGTGATGTACTTTTCAAATTTAAAAATTATTTTTATTCTTATATGAATCATAAAAGATAGCTATGTGCCTTTTGTTTTTTGTGAAACTCTTTAAGAGGATAATAAACTGTTTATAGATACCTCTAATTTAGAAAAATGGTTTGCACTTTTTAATAAGTAAAGTGATTTACCTTTTACACACCAGAGCATGTTAAATGTTACTAATGATTAATGCTTGCCCTAACAAAGGATTACTGAAACTTGTATTTGCATGTTTTGAAGTCTAATATATATATACCTCTTTGCATCATGAGTATGATTATTTTTATAATTTAGTGATTATCCTATTAAATACTCAGTGTGAAAATTCATTAAAGGAAATGACTTAGAGAATTTGTGTTTTACCTTCAAACTCAAAAATTCTCCCCTAAACTTCCATTATAAAGCATAATTGTCACAACTTTTCATTGCATTGGTTTTCTCAATTTTATTTCTCATATTAACAAAAATTCTAGAATCAGTAATAATGAAATTGATCTGACAGTACATCATTTAGGTAACAGATTGTCTCCCCTCATTTTTAATTGTTTGAGGCAAGATGTAATGTCTATGGAAAGAAATTCCCTTATGGTAATTTTAAAAGTTCTTCTGAGGGATATTAAATTGACACTTGGATGGTGGCTCAAAGATTGTAGTATGTATTTAGGGCTTTGAAAGTAACATCTCACACTTTGTAAGATATAGAGCAGGCTGTATAACTGATATTTCATAATTTTGAAACCACAGTTATATAAGCTAACATTCTGTTACTATATTGAGAATTTAAAAATTATTTAAAATATAACTTCTTGGTGTAATATGAGGAATTTTTACTGTATTGAATTAAGTATATTAAAAAAATCATTGATTTAGCTTTCGAGTTTTCCCCCTTCCCTGCTTAAACTATTTGCCTTATATTTGGGTGATAAAATATTTTTCCTTTTGAAAAAGTAGCAACTGCTGATGAAATGAGCTGATGCGCATGTGTGTAGCATGTCCAAATCTTTGCTACCCCACAGACTGTAGCCCACCAGGCTCCTCTGTCCATGGGATTTCCCAGGCTACAATCCTGGAGTGGTTTGCCATTTCCTTCTTCAGGGAGTCTTCCCAAATCAGGAATCTTGCATCTCCTGCATTGGTAGGCAAGTTCTTTAGCGCTATTGCCACCTGGGAAAGCCTCTAAAGTTAATACTAGAGAAATCTGGAGTTTTTTGCACCTCTTCCAGATCTTTTTGTAATTACTGGCCATACTATACATATTCTTATCTTAAGGTCAGTATTTGGAGACTATGGGACTCAACAGTTATTAGAAATTTCAGAGTAACTGAACAATAGCAAATATGGATTGGTTATAATAATATATGAATCCCAGAATCTGAATGTTTCTCTAGTTGTTTTGTGCTGCTATATGAAATAACTTTTCTTTGGATAATAGCGGTGCTACCTGAACACTACATCTAAGAGATCATTAGAAGAATGTAATAATCATTACTTCTACCTAACTAATCTGCCTTACTTTCAGATAACAAAGAAACCCCTCAGACAGAGCTGGGATGATTATTGCTTTGACTCTGAGCCGGTCAGTACAAGTGCCTAAGTATCCTTGCTAAAGGACGCTTTTTGTGACTTAGGAAGAAAGTCAGCTGAAATACAAACAAAGAATCTAGGAAAGAAGATAAATCAATGTTTATTTTATTGGAATTGACTTTTTTGTGTATGTATGGTTTATTGATTAAAAGCAGTTTACCTTTTTTGGATTTTTGGGGGCTATATTTAGACTATATTCAGTATTTATTTTGAAAAATAATACATTGATTGCATTCCTAATTTCAGCATTGTTATGGATCCTTATAGCCTATAGGGTTTTTTTCCCTTGACATTTATTTATTTATTTCAATTCTTATGTGGTAGTTTAGTTACCCATTTATTATGGGTAGTATTTATTATTTTAAAAAGTTGCATCCTTCCTGTTTTGTGTGTCCGTTAACAGTCTTCACATAATGAATGCATGCATTTTTTTAGTAGCAAGAGAGGCCATAGCCTACATGTAATTTTCTAAAAAAAATAAGAATTGAAATTCCTTTAAATAAGATTATTTTTTGTTTCAAATTAAGGATGATTTAAAGGCATATATGATGTAATATAAAATGAGTAGGTAAATTATTTATACAAACAGTTTTATAATTGCAAATAGAACATAAAAATCTTTTTCCTTTACTTCAGTTTGCAACTAGGTCAGATGTGAAAGGCTGAAAACACACACTCATCTATATATTCATTAACTAATAAACTAATGTATTAACTACTCCTCCTGGAAATGTAATATGTCTTAATCCTACTTTAAATAACTATCACTTTAATTCTCACTGCATGTGATTACAAACTCCGTTAATTGCAAAACTATCAGAATTTGAGTAGTTTAGTAATTTTTCCTTAAGTTTAATTGCAGTACCATTTCATAATCAAGTAATTTGCAATTTCAGATTTGATATTTTAGAAAATAAATTTTATACAGTAAATGTATAGATACTGATGATTTTTAGTAGAAACATTTTATGCTATATTTTCACTCTTGAAACGCTTCCGTCTTTTGCTTAGTATGCCAGTTGACTATGCGCACCTCATTGGGAAGTAGGTAGGAGACTGGGAAGCTCATATAGTGAATGAAAGATTTGATTGCCTGTACAGAGCTTACAATGAGATTGTCAACTGGTCTGCTATTTAGACAGTCCAATAAGTAATGCTTAGGAATTTTTAGGTTCTGAAGTAGATAGACCTGATTTGAAAACTGGCTCATCTACTTGTTAGTTTTGAGAACCCGAGCAGGTGACTTACCTTTTTGTTTTCATCCCTTCTTTAAGGGAAAGATAATGGTCTTTAACTGTTGTGGTTTTTTTTTTTTTTTGGTCTTTAACTTTTGTGAGTGTTAAATTAGTGCATTTACGGAGCTTGATGGATTGCTTAATGCTTATTAAGCACACAGTAAATGTTTCCACTATTGCCGCCACCATTGAAAGCATCATTATCCATCTTTTCCTTTTAGGAGAAATTTGTAGCCATGCTCTCCTACTCCCTTAATATTACTTTCATCACTATCCTCTTATTTATTATGTTTTCAAATCTATTATCATAGGGACTTTAATTTTTGCTGCTTTTTCTTGCAAAGTAATTTTAATGGAAGCAAGTAGTCTATCTGAGGATCTTTTTCTTAATTCTTTCCTCTTAGCACCTCCTCATATCATATTTGGGAGCAAACTAAACTTGTTTCACTCTGAGTTTTTAGAACTTATTTGAGTAGCTTTATGGGAAGAGAGGATTAAGGAAGATTCTGCAGTTTGTGCTATATTACTTAATATACATTGTATGAAATTGTATAAATGATCCCAAGGGGAACTTAAGTGAGAAAATTGCTTTTAACAAGGGACCTGTTGTTGCCCATTGCATGGGCAACATTAATAAAACATTAATAAAACAAGCTCAAGCAACTAGTGTTTCATGAAAGATAACAGAGGACTTAGAACAGATTTTGGTATAACCTCCTCTGTTATTTAGGTGACTTATTTAACCACTGAGTCTATTTTCTTTCCTAAAATATAGGTATAATAAAATGTACATATGCATAATTAACCTGTTGTGTTTTGAGAATTTAAAGATTATGTACGGCAAGTGACTCTCCTATTGACTAGTATGTAGAAGATATATGGTAAATGCTCATTTCCCTTCTTTAAATGATAATAATCTATTCTAATCATTTTACCTTAAAGCTGGTTCTGAATAACTTCAATGTAAATAGTTTCACCTAATTTAAAATTTTTCTGAATTAAACTTTGAATAGTCAGGTCCAACTATCAGGCAAGTTTAGTGAGGATTGCCAGAATGGGTCTCAGGATACTGAACACCATGCTGCAAAGGGATTGAAACATATTATTGTCAGTGAGGCCAAGCTTTCATCCTGGTCATTACTACCTTTATAGGAACCCAACCATTTATATTGTACCTGACCTCCCATTTTTTCCCATGAATTAGACCTGCTGCAGGAATCCCGTGCAACTGGACAGAAACCTTTAAATCCATAATGTTTACATCCTCCATATTTTAAGTATTTCTACAGCATAACACTTTTACTGCTATTCACTGTCCAACAGTTTATACATTTGGGGTCACTCCCTCAAATTCTGCCTTTTTGACTTTATGCCAGTCCAGTACAAAGGTCTCTGCATGCTGCACAACTTCCTTTGCAAATGCTTTTCCATTTAAAAGCCATTACCATCCATATTATATTTGATCATTATAAAACCACTGGTTGTAGTTAGTATGATTACCTTTCACACAAGAAGCAGCAGTGGCTCAGAATTTAAGTGACTTCCCTGTGGTGATGAAACAATTTAATAATGTAATTGGGATTCAAATCAGGCTATGTTTTATATGTTCTTTTTTAAATGATCTTCAGCATCTTTACTAACTCTTAAAGTCAATTATTCAGATTCATGTCCTATATTATCAACTAGTACCTATAAAAAGTATAATTTTTATAAACAGTATTCTAAGATATATAGACAGCATATGAGAAACATGTGTAATTTGACTTTGCTTTTCACTTTTTCTCCCTCAAAATACTTCCTACATGCCAGGCTTGTTGTAGGTACTTATAAATGCGAATGGGTTCTCATCATCTCATACAAAGGGAAAAAGTGCTGATAGCTTGAAAGAATATTTTGGTGTATTTGTGGGGATTGTGCAGTGGCATGTTATCATGTAAGACTAGAGCCTGAGCTGAGTTTGACAGTAGGAATCAACTGTCTTCTTTCAGTGGAAAGGGTTGTGACAGTTGTTGGTTAGTTCCCTACCTCATTCTTTGACCTTTACTGTTTTATTGTTTTCTAAATGACCTCCAACAGCCAGTATTTGTATCTGATGCTTGAAAGCTTTTCTTAGAATCCTGGAAGGCATTGCACTCTTGCCTGGTCCTCTAAAAGTACCTAGGAATTAGCAGCTTATCTCCAGAACTGATGAGAGATGATATATAAGTGTTATGGCTCCTTCACCTTTCTATTTTTTATAGTGTTTCCCAGAGGTTACTTTGGAATTAAAGTCCAGCTACCCACCTTGGTAGCTCCTTTGATATTGTACTCTATTTAGGCAACGTTGCCTTCCCTACATTCTAATGCTACTTGTACTGAATCTTGGTCTCAAGGTTTGCATCCGTATGAACCCAGATTAAGATAATGATATTTCTGGTCTGGTAGATTAATCTGTCCTTAGTTTTTCTAATACCATTGTCATCAAGGAAGTTCATGTTAAATACAAGTATTTAAAAGTTGATTATGATTTTGGTCTTGTATTTCTGAAGAACATTTTGGTTATAGATAATAGCAGGTATAAATGTATTTATATTTTAGTTCTTTTTTCAATTTATGCTCTCAATATTTTATCCACACTGTTTTATTCATTCTTGAGGTAGATAAGAGCAGCTGTCATTTATGAGAATCATTACTGTATTACTGAGTTTACACAAGTTGAAGCATAGGTTGTTTTCCCTCCACTTATTTGTTACAGAAAAATTTTTACTAAATTATAAAATGAGTGAGCTGTTTGTGGTTTTAGGGGGAAGAAAAGAAAGAGCTTTTAAAAAGCTTTATGAAAGAGAAAAATGTGTTAAGTTAAAATTTTTTAGTGGGTTAGGATGTTGTCATGTCTGTAGAAATATGTCTTAAAATTTCTTATCAAAAATTTTATAGTCAGAAAGAACTTTCCTTAAAGTGAATTTGAAATCCATGTGTACCTTTCCATAGGGAATATTTTATTAATATTAATAGTATTAATATTTTAATAGTATTAAAAATGCTATTTTTAATAGCATTTTAAGACAGTGTTTAAAATTTTATTATTTATATATATATTCATTTTTATAGTACCTAAAGCAGGTTATACATGGTAGATACTTGATAAATAATTTTTAAGCACTTTGTTTCTTCAAAAGGATTGTCTCATTCAGTTAATTAATTCATTGATTGTATATTTACTCCAGTAATTTCCTACTTTATTCTTGGCACTGACTTGATATTGGAAATCTGCAGTAAATGAGACAAATAATAGTTCATGTGTTCATTGACTGTTTGATACAACATTTCATAGGAAGATAGGCATTAAAAAGTAAATACATATGAGGAAGTTTTTGAAAATAAAAGTGTAAAGGGACTATGAGAACACATAATAAAGGCAGGTAAAGACTAATTTTTTAATTGTTTTAAAGATCTACAGTATAACCAAATGGTACAGTATTACCTTTTGACTTTTGGGGGAACTGAAATGCAAGAGTTGCTCTAGAAGAGTAATATTTTTTAGTCTGGTAGTCCATAACTGTTTTTACTGGCTCATATTATGAGGGTTCTTTTGAAAGTTTTTGTAATTTCACATATACTTCTTTATTTTGCTGATTGCCATGTTGTTTATATTATTTGTTAGGAACTATTTATGTGATACCTAATGTTGATGTAATATAAACATCTTTATATTAAGTCTAGGCTCCTCTTCTCAACTAAATTAATGCCTCTTCTAAAATATATTTTTGTGTCCCAGGATCTAGTTCAGTACCTTGCATATAGGTAGGCACCTATTAAATATTTGTTGAATAAATAACATTTGTATGTGGAATTGATCTCTTAAATGCTTCGCATCTCTGAGACTCTTCAGAACCACTCAAAATCAAACTTGGTATCAGAATATTTTATGAGTCTTGCTAGCTCTTTATTTTAAGTTACTTTTGAGGTTCTTCCTTGGGTGGTTGTGAAGAAGAGGGAAAAGGCAACATACTGGGATTTAGGTAGGTATATGTGTTGGTTTGCATGCTTGTAGTAGGATAAGAGTCGAATGAATTTGATGATATCTAAATATGCATAGGTATGGTTATCTAAAATTACTATATTCCTGAGTGGCTTAGGTTGCTTTTCAATAGGTAATCTTGATCTTTCTTTTCCATTTTTCTTAAAAAAGCAGGACTGCTTCACCGTAGAGGGGGAAGATTTGAGGCATGACTTTGAACGCTTACAACTAGCCATGGAAATGGTAGGATTTCTTCCCAAGACTCGAAGACAGTGAGTTTATTTATTGTATTCCTTTACCCTCAGTAGAGATCCTTTGAAACAGTTTTCTAATATTCCTATCTAATGCGTCTTCCATCTTAAGCATTATGTAGAATTAGGAAATTTATTTTTGTAAAAGACTTGTTTTGAATTGCTTTCTTTTGTCATAAATTCTTTGAGAATCTGTTGAAAGTTAGAGCTCTTCTTCCTAAAAATGTAGTCCATAAACATTTGCATATTATTACAGGAATTCATGGTGCCCCCCAAACCTCTCCGTGTACCTTCCTTAACTGTTGCTTTATAACACTTGTTGTCAAGGGAAGGAAACAATGTGGGGTCTAAGGGTGGGTTGCTTAAAGTAAAAGAGAAGCGAGGTTACTTTGATAGAAAGTTCTTGTCAAGTTCAGGTGAGACAGAAAATAGGTATAATAATGTCCCAGAGTAAACTGAGTTCATGAGATGTAGAGCTCAAATATAGGGATTATCTATTGGCTGGAAGAGAGGCATGTGTTTTTCTGAGACAGGAGGGAAGGACAACTGAGATGTAGATATTTCACAGTAAGGGCCTAATATTAGATCATATAGTCCAGTGATCTCCATTACTGTTTTTATTTTTTTTTTTAATTTTTTATTTTTTTCCATTACTGTTTTTAAAAAAGGCATTATAATATGATGGTCAGTATAATATGATGTGAGAAAGCATTTAAAAATATAATAATAAAAAAATCACCTTGGTTACTTTGTTTAAAAAAATACAAATTCTGAGACCTTTCTTTTAAAGATTCTAATTCAGTAGATCTGGGCTTCCCTTGTAGCTCAGTCAGTAAAGAATCCACCTGCAGTGCAGGAGACCCGGGTTCTATCCTTGGGTTGGGATGATCCCCTGGAGAAGGAAATGGCAACTCACTCCAGTATCCTTGCCTGGAAAATCTCATGGACAGAGGAGCCTGGTGGGCTGCAGTCCATGGCATTGCAAAGAGTCGGGCACAACTGAGCGACTAACACACAATTCAGTAGATCTGAAATAGGCCGTGTGGGAAAGGACATTCCAGGTAGGATAAAAAGCACTTAGAAAGTCATGGACTTTTGAAACACCACAGAAGATTCAGACAATGTTAAGTCCCCTTTAAGGCTTCCCTGGTGGCTCAGTGGTAAAGAATCTGCCTGCCAATGCAAGAAACATGGGTTCAGTCCCTTATCCGAGAAGATCCCACATGCCATGGAGTGACTAAGCCTGTGCGCCACAACTACTGAGCCTGTGCTCTAGAGCCCAGGAGCCACGACTGCTGGGTCCATGTGCCACAACTCCTGAAGCCTGTGGTCTCTAGAGCCCAAGCTCTGCAACAAGAGAAGCCAGCACACCAAGAAGCCTGTGTACCACTGCTAGAGAAAAGCCTGTGCAGCAATGAAGACCCAGCACAGTCAAAAATAAATAAATTTAAAACAAAAAGAATAAAGTCCCCTTCAAACAACTATATCTGTATATCTGACATGGATACAGTTCTTAAAGTGAAGTTATATAAAGCACTTTGCATAGTGCCCGACATGGTAAACACTCAGTAAATTTTAGTTATTGTAGTTATGATTATTATCCCCGTATTTCTTATTTTTCTGAAGACTAAGTACTCTGTATTTGTACTGGTTAATTTGCTTGATTAGAATTTTGGAATGAAATAAGCTTAAGAGAAGTCACATAAGCAAGCTGTAATTTATGGTTTTATTTTCACAGGATTTTCTCTCTCCTCTCAGCAATACTACATTTGGGTAATATCTGTTATAAAAAGAAGACATACCGGGATGACTCCATAGATATCTGTAATCCTGAAGTTCTGCCTGTTGTCTCAGAGTTATTAGAAGTGAGTGATTACATTCTCAGTTTTCATTTCAAATACTGGTCATTTCTCAGTTTTTATTTTGTGTAACTATTTTGTAGGTATAAATGGGTTAATACTTTTAATTAATAGTGTTACTCCAGAAGTTGGAATTCTTTCTATTATGTGTACCAGACTCTTTAGAAGATTTGGGTTTTCTCCCCCACCTCCCTTTGTCCCAGATATCTGTAACTCCTAAATTTGCTTAATAGGATGAATATTTCACTCTATACTATATCATGTTCTAGGTCTTTGTAAATTTTCTCCTACATAGTAGGTTGTTGGTTAGATTATTTTCTTTGAAGATGGGGTGTCCAGATGGGTGGAGTACTACTTTTTCTTTCTTCATGGCTAAATAGGAGTCAAACGTCTTCATATCCTATGACGTTTCTTTGCACATCAAAGTCCTCATTATCTTACTCTTTCTTCCTGGACTGATGATTTCTCATGTTTTCTCAGCTAACTGCTCATCTTAAAACGGGTATAGTTTTTTATGGGCCCTCTCCTCTGACAGAACAGGAAATATGTATGTGTAAACTCACCTTGAGTATATTCACATATCTCCAAATATTTTTATGTGACTGTCTATATAAAGATAAACATGATCTGCGCAACAAGGGAAGCTATAAACAAACAGAAAGACAACCTGTGGAATAGGAGAAAATATTTCCAAACTATGCAACTGATGGAGGGATATTACATGGTATCACTTATATGTGAAATCTAAAACTATGATGTTGTTGTTGTTCAGTCATCCAGTCATGTCCAACTCTTTGTGACCCCTTGGACTGCTGCATGCCAGGCCTCCCTGTCCCTCACCATCTCCCGAAGTTTGCCCAGTTCATGTCTTTTGCATCAGTGATGCCATCCAGCCATCTCATCTTCTGACACCCTCTTCTCCTGCTCTCAATCTTTCCCAGCATCAGGGACTTTTCCAATGAGTCAGCTGTTTGCATCAGATGACCAAAATACTGGAATTTCACTTCAACATTAGTCCTTCCAACGCGTATTCAGGGTTGATTTCCCTTAAGATTGACTGGTTTGATCTCCTTGCTATCAAAGGGACTCTCATATGATACAAATGAATTTAGTTACAAAATAGAAATAAACTCATAGACATAGAAAACAAATTTATGTTTACCTAAAAGGAAAATGGAGGGAGGGGTAAATTAGGAATCTGGGATTACTGGATACATACTACTATATGTAAAATAGATAAACAATAAGGACCTACTGCATAGCACAGGGAACTGTATTCAGTATTTTATAACCTATAATGGAAAAGAATTTGAAAAAGGATATGTATTTATATATATAAATAAAACTGAATCACTTTGCTGTATATCTGAAACATTGTAAGTCAACTGTGTGTGTGTGTGTGTTAGTTGCTTAGATGTGTCCGACTCTTTGCAACCTCATGGACTGTAGCTTGCCAGGCTCCTCTGTCCGTGGGAGTCTCCAGAAAAGAATACTGGAATGGGTAGCTGTTCCTTTCCAAGATTATTTAGGTCAGTAGTTTTCCTCCTTCCCTCTTCTCTGAGGTTGTTCCATATATTTGTGATATAGTTTCCATGTCGTGGCCTGCATTCTTTCCTGAGATTCCCCCAGCATGGTAAATGATTGCTAAAAATTTGTATACCTTAACATTCATGGATTAGGTATGTATATATGTATGGATTGTGACAAATGCATAATGTTGTATGTCCTCCACTACAATATCTTACAAAGGTTTCACAGCCCTGAAACTTCCCTGTGTGTCATCTATTCAACCCCTCCCTACAAACTACTGATGTTTTTACTAGCTTTGTAGGTTTGCTTTTTTCAGAATGTAACATAATTAGATTCATATAGTATTAATATATCATGTTTTCAGACTTGTTTCACTTAGCAGTATACATTTAAGATTCATCCAGTGTCTTTTCCTGGCTTGATAGCTCATTTCTCTTTATTGCTGAATGTTATTCCACATATGCATGTATCACAGTTTGCCTGTCTGTCCATTCACCTATTGAAAGTGAAAGTTGCTCAGTCATGTCCGACTCCTTGTGACCCCATAGACTTTATTACAGTCCATGGAATTCTCCAGGCCAGAATACTGGAGTGGGTAGCCTTTCCCTTCTCCATGGATCTTCCCAACCCAGGGATCGAACCCAGGTCTCCTGCATTGCAGGCGGATCCTTTACCAGCTGAGCTCTTAGGGAAGCCCATCTATTGAATAATATGTTAATTATTTCCAAATTTTTTTTGCAATTATTGGTGATCTTTTTTTTTCCTGTTAAAATATCACTTATTTTTCAAATCTTGGTTCATATACTGCTTCATCGGTTTTAACTGTATTAAATGGTTTAAACTGATTCCATCAGCATAGAACAATTTGCTTCTCCTTAGCATAATTCAGCGGAGAAGGCAATGGCACCCCACTCCAGTACTCTTGCCTGGAAAATCACATGGATGGAGGAGCCTGGTAGGCTGCGGTCCATGGGGTCACTAAGAGTCGGACACGACTGAGCGACTTCACTTTCACTTTTCACTTTCATGAATTGGAGAAGGAAATGGCAACCCACTCCAGTGTTCTTGCCTGGAGAATCCCAAGGACGGGGGAGCCTGGTGGGCTGCCGTCTATGGGGTTGCAAAGAGTCGGATGTGACTGAAGTGACTTAGCTTAGCAGCAGTGTAATTCAGTATTGGCTTTGTAGCATAGTTAATTGTTTACCAGTTTGTGTCCATTGTAAGGTAGTGGCAGTGTTCTTTGAGATCTGTGGATGTGCTTATTTATCTAACCTTACAATGTTTATTATTTTGTACACACCTTGCTGTTTATTAACTTTAATGGAATGAGTTAGCCTGGTAGAAGAGGCAAGAGGGAGTACTTTGAGTTGGAACTAGACTCACTCATTAGAAAGGAGTTCCAGAATATGGAGTCTGGTATCTGAAAGCTGTAATTTTAAAGCTCATGAGGGTCAGAAAACAGATCTTTCAGACAGGACTTCCAGGTGATATTTTAGTCGTTCATTTCGTATTGTGGTGATACAGAGCATTTTGGCTAGTGATCTTTCTTAGAAGTTTAGGCATTCAGCAAGTACCAAGGCTTCTAGTCCTAGTGAAATATTTCTTTTTTGGTGAGAGACTAATAAGAGCAATTTAGGAAATTTAAAGAGGAACTCAGTTGTTTGTAAAAAAAAGGGGGGGGGGGAATCCAATTCTGAAAATTGGGCTTGCCAGTGTTAAAGCTGGGCTAACAACTAAGTGTGATTTAATAGCAAATCCCACCTTTTGAATTCAGGCTTCTCAAATTCCTTGTTTTGAGTGGTTCCTCTTTCTAGTTTGGAGTGGTTTGAGGAGTGAAGTTTCAGTAATAAGTAGAAAGAAAATATCTTCAAAAGTCAAGGAGCTAGAGAAGATCTGACAACACCTACCAGAGTGTCCTGCCTATAGTTAGACCTTATTTTTATTTATCATTATTTTTTATTAAAAAATTTTTTTTGGCCCTAACTAAGGCTTGTGGGATTTTAGCTTCACAACTAGGTATTGAACCTTGGCCCCTGGCAATGAAACCACTGGGTCCAGACCACTGGACTGCCAGGGAATTCCCCATGAAGTTTATTTATTTATTTACTTTTTTTTTTTTTTGCTGCACTGGGTCTTCATTGCTGCATTTGGGCTTTGTCTAGTTGTGGCAAGAGGGAGCTTCTCTCTTCATTGTGGTGCACTGGCTTCTCATTGCGATGGCTTCTCTTGTGGAGCTCGGGCTGTAGCAGGCTTCAGTAGTTGCGGCTCTCAGGCTTTAGAGCACAGGCTCAGTAGTTGTAGCGCATGGGCTTAGCTGCTTCGTGGCATGTGAGGTCTTCCCAGACTAGAGATCGACCCCGTGTCCCCTGCATTGACAGGCAGATTCTTACCCACTGCCACCAGGGAAGTCCAATAAAATTTAAAGACTATTTGGAAAATTATAAAGGTAGCTGATTAAAATATGAATTCAATAATACTTTCTTAAGTTGCTTATTAAATCCAGATAAGATTAGTGTATTTTACCTGGTTATGGTATGTGTGTAGACTTGTGTATGTGGTTATGGTGTGTGTGTGGACTTGTGTATGTGGTTATGGTGTGTGTGTAGACATGTGTATGTGGTTATGGTGTGTGTGTGGACTCGTGTATGTGGTTATGGTGTGTGTGGACTCGTGTATTATGGCATGATGTGTGTGGACTCGTGTATGTGGTTATGGTATGTGTGTGGACTTGTCTATGTGGTTATGGCATGATGTGTGTGGACTCGTGTATGTGGTTATGGTGTGTGTGTGGACTTGTCTATGTGGTTATGGTGTGTGTGGACTTGTGTATGTGGACTCGTGTATGTGGTTATTGTGTGTGTGTGGACTTGTGTATGTGGTTATGGTGTGTGTGGACTTGTGTATGTGGTTATTGTGTGTGTGTGGACTTGTGTATGTGGTTATGGTGTGTGTGTAGACTTGTCTATGTGGTTATGGTGTGATGTGTGTGGACTCATGTATGATCAATGCCAAGTTTTAGTGCCAGCATTAAGTCAGCTCCTCAAAATGAGTTGGGTAGTTCTTCATTCTTTAAAATCTTCTTCATTTAATAGAAGAATCATTAGCAAAGAATAATATGTTTGTTAAAGATATGAATAATATCAACCCTATGACTAATGGTATTTAATGTTCCTCCAATTATTTTGTGTTGACTGATTTTTCAGGATTTTTAAATCTGGTTTGAGTTAATTTTGACGACTTGTGTTTTTCTGTGAAATAATTTGTTGATTAAATGTTTAAAGCTTACTACTTTTGTATTCATTGTGAATACTCTGTTAATGTTTAAATTATTTTTCTCTATATTAGCTTTCTATTCATGTTTCTTAATGTTCTTTCTATTCATGTTTTCTTTTGATACATAATTTGTCTTTCATTTCTTATATACTTATGTATTGAATTATATTTTTAACATATTTTCTCTTTTCTGTTAAATTATGAAATATTTTTTAGGATATAATATATATGAAAAAGGTATTGTATAATAAATACCTGTAGACTCAAAATATTATCCAAGTAATAAAATATTACATGTAATTGAAGTCCTGTATGTACTTTGCCCAGCAGAAGTATAAATACTACTATGAATTTAGTTTTTTCCAAGTTTTATTAATTGAAATTATAAATGTAGTCAAAAGTGGAGAGATGCCCAAGTACCCATTGTTAAGCTTCATCACTTATTAATGTGGCCCATCTCTTTTCATCTGTATCTTCACCTCTGTTCCTTCCCAATTCTTTTAAAACAAATTCTAAAATAAAATCCCAGTTATCTAAAAGATAAGGGCTATGTTTGTAAAAATATTCATAATAATTAGGAAATTACTGTATAGCACAGGGAAACCTACTCAGTACTCTGTGATTGCCTATATAGGAAAAGACTCTTTAAAAAAAGGTGGATATATATATATAAAAATATGGCTTCCCATGTGGAACAGTGGTAAAGAATCTGTCTGCCAGTGCAGAAGATGCAGTTTTGATCATCTGGGTGGGATCACCCTTGGAGTCAGAAATGGCAACCCATTCCAGTATTCTTGCCTGAAAAATTCCATGGAGAGAGGAACCTGATGGGTTGTAGTCCATGGAGTTGGAAAGTGTCAGACACAACTGAACAGGCATGCACGTATATTTCCAATGGGTTCACCTTCCTACACACTTGAAACTGACACAACACTACAAATCATCTATACTGCAAAAAATTTTTTTAAAAACTCACAATCTTATTAAAATACCTAAAAATAAATAAGTTGGTTTTTAGTCTCAGCTATATAGTCAATGTTGAGGTTTTCTTTTTTTTAAATGATTTCCCTACAATTTCTTGTTTTTCATTGAGTTATAATTGACATACAACGTTAGTTCCAGCTGTTAAACATAGTACAATATAGTTCAAATATACAAAATAGAATATATTTCAAAATGATCATAGTAAGTCTAATCAACATCTTTCAGGATACATAGTTACAAAAAGTTTATTTTCTTGTGATTAGGATTTCTAAGATCTCTTCTAGCAACTTTCAAATGTGGAATACAATTTTTATTAACTGTTGTTATCATGTTGTGCATTCCATCCCCATGACATGTGACCTTTATATTATATCTGGAAGTTTGTACCTTCTGCCTTGCATTTGTTGTTGTTCAGTTGCTCAGATGTGTCCAACTCTGCCACCCCATGGACTGCAGCACGCCGGGCCTCCCTGTCCTTCTCTGTCTCCCGGAGTTTGCTCAAACTCATGTCCATTGAGTTGGTGATGCCATCCAACCATCTCGTCCTCTCTAGCTCCCTTCTCCTCCTGCCCTCAATGTTTCCCAGCATCAGGGTCTTTTCCAGTGACTCGGCTCTTCTCATCAGGTGGCTCAAATATTGGAGTTGCAGCTTCAGCATCAGTCCTTCCAATGAATATTCAGGGTTGATTTCCTTCAGGATTGACTGATTTGATCTCCTTGCTGTCCAAGGGACTCTCAAGCATCTTCTTCAGCACCACGGTTTGAAAGCATCAATTCTTTGGTGCTTGGCCTTCTTTATAGTCCAACTCTCATGTCTGTACATGACTAATGGAAAAACAATAGCTTTGGCTATATGGACCTTTGTTGGAAAACTGATGTCCCTGCTTTTTAATACGCTATCTAAGTTCATCAAAACTTTTCTCCCAAGGAGCAAGCATCTTATAATTTCATGACTGCAGTCACTGTTGCAGTGATTTTGAAGTCCAAGAAAATAAAACCTGTCACTGTTTCAATTTTTTCCCTATTTGTTTACCATGAAGTGGTTGGACCAGATGCCATGATCTTAGTTTTTTGAATGTTGAGTTTTAAGCCAGCCTTTTCACTCTCCTCTTTCACTTTCATCAAGAGGCTCTTTAGTTACTCTCGCTTTCTGCCCTTAGGTTAGTGTCATCTGCATATCTGAAGTTATTGATATTTCTCCTGGCAATCTTGATTCTAGCTTGTGCTTTATCCTGCTTGGCATTTCCCATGATGTACTATCCATATAAGTTAAATAAGCACGGTGACAGTATACAGCCTTGATGTACTCCTTTCCCAATTTTGAGCCAGTCCATTGTTCTATGTCCAGTTCTAACTGTTTCTTCTTGACCTGCATAAGGTTTCTCAGAAGGCGGGTAAGGTAGTCTGGTATTTCCATCTCTCTTTAAGGTCTTAATTTTCCAGTTTCTTGTGATCAGCATAGTCAACGGCTTTAGTGTAGTCAATGAAGCAGATGTTTTTTTCTGGAATTTCTTGCTTTTTCTATGATCCAGTGGATGTTGGCAATTTACTCTCTGGTTCTTCTGTGTTTTCTAAATCCAGCTTGTACACCTGGAAGTTCTCGGTTCACATACTGTTGAAACCTAGCTTGAAGGATTTTGAGCATTACCTTGCTAGCATGTGAAATGAGCACAACTGTATGGTAATTTGAATATTCTTTGGCATTGCCTTTCTTTGGGATTGGAATGAAAACTGACCTTTTCAGGTCCTGTGGCCACTGCTGAGTTTTCCAAATTTGCTGGCACATTGAATGCTGCACTTTAACAGCATCATCTTTTAGGACTTGAAATAGCTCAGCTGAAATTCCATCACCTCCGCTAGTTGAATTTAGTTTTTATTATCATTCTTATTTTTATATTTTCAAAATAGATAGATGTGTCCATAAAGAATATATAGTTTTGTTCTGAATGTTTTCACACTTTATATGTGTTATACTGTATGTATCATTCTAAAACTTGACTTTTTGACTTGATATTTTGTTTTTAAGATTTTTCAGGGAAAAAAAAAGATTTTTCAGTGTTGGCTTATATATTCTAGATTCTTCTTTGAGCTGTTAAATAAAATTCTCTTATATGAATAAAACATAATTTTTCTTTTATAGTGGGGAGTGAGGTTATTTGTAATTTTCCATTTATGGATAGTACTGTGATAGGCCTGGTACATATATCCTTGTTAACATGTGTGAGAATTACTCTAGGATATAATTCAATGAATGAAATCTTGGGTATGATATATACACATACTGAACTTTATTGTTACTGACATATTACTGTCTATAGTGATTATACCAATTTATACAAGGGTATGGAAGTCAGCTTTGCCCACGTTGTTGCCAGTTTACATTTGTTTGTTCCTTTAAAAACATTTCTTACATTCTTGCATGGGTCATTCGTTTTCTGATGGTCAGTTTTAATAATAATTACTTGCATGAAGAAATGCTCCTCAGAATATTACAGTGTTTTTTTTTATCATGTTTTTTCTTAGTTTTGTCATTTTGTGTAATCTGCATTATCAATAATTTGATTCTTGAAATATTTTAAATATATCTGAAAGGTTGAGGTTTTTACATGTAAACTTTGGCTATTCGTCTTGTGAAGTTAATTTGTCTGAATATGTTTCTGTTGTTTGGAATTAGAAGATTCAGCAATGGATGCTCCAAAAGAAGGTTTATTTTCTTTATGGCGTTATCTTATTTTAAAACATGGTTGACCTGTCATGAGTTTGCTGGTGGCAGGGTAATGACTCACTGTTGTTTTATAAGTATAAAAACATGAACTGAAGTGATACATGAGAAATTTATGATTATTTTGGCTTCTATAGAGAGAGTAAGAATAAAGGAAGCATCAACTTTAAAGTTTAACATCTGTAAGTGAAAATAAACATCTGAAACATCAATAACTATCCATTGTAATGTTCCTGGAATTCAAGAAGTATTGTTGGGATGCCCCTGGTGGTCTAGTGGCTAAGACTGCATGTTCCCAAAGCAGGAGACTTGGATTCGATTACTGGTCAGGGAGCTCAGATCCCATATGCCACAACTTAGACTTGGTGCAGCCAGATAAGTTCAGTTAATAAGAATTTAGAAAAAAAAAGTATTGTCATTTTTTAGTCCTTGTATCCAGGTTGTGGGATTATGACTGACTGTCTTAAAATATTTTTTGTGCTATTGTGTATTTTTCATACTCTGCTCAATGAAACATGTTTCTTTGTTATGATCAGAAAACTTTAAAAAGACCAAACTGTCTTATTTACCCTTTGTGTCTTTTTGTGGTGAAGAAGGGTGAGTGGGATGCTTAAATTCCACTTTGGCCAATAATTAAATTGCCCAGTGTATTGTCTTTTTGTTTTTTCTCTATTGCATATTTGCTTTTCTCATTATTTTTTTCTCTGTTTGATGTTTCAATAAGTAATTCAACCATTGTTAAAAATCTTATATTGAATTTACTTTTCTGCTGTATAGGTTAAAGAAGAGATGCTGTTCGAGGCACTAGTTACAAGGAAGACTGTGACAGTGGGAGAAAAGCTTATTTTACCATACAAACTGGCAGAGGTATGAATAGATTTTCTTTGAAATCAGGGAACTCTAAATGCTTTTTGAAGTTTAGATTTATATTCTTGCTTTTAATAGAATGAAAATGACAGTAGTGTTGATTGAAATATTTTCTGGGCTCTTGAAACTTGATTATGAATTTTCTATCAACTTGGAAACTTTTAAACAGTATGCTTACATTTTTCTCCAGTGATCTTAATCTCATCACCATTTTTAATTTTCATTTGATGTATATGGATGGGTAGCAATATTTGACACAAATGATTTTTCCTTCCTGAGCACATCGTATCTTCTGGCACACCATACTCTTGGGTTACTTTTCCATTGTTGGCCACTCCTTGGCAGTTCTTTTTGTTTGTTTTTTTCTTCTTCCTGACTCTGTTGATGAAGAATGGGGTTCCGTAGGACAGTCTTTGTCTGTCCTGATGTATACTTTTTATCTCAGTTGTCTAATCATCCCATGGCTTCAAATGTCACCTGTATAGTAAGGCTTCCACTAAAGTTTTATTGCTACAGGGAGCCAATATTACTGTTTTACCACTCAAGTGTATGAGAGTGGGCTTCCCTGGTGGCTCAGAGGGCGTCTGCCTACAATGTGGGAGACCCGGGTTCGATCCCTGGGTCGGGAAGATCCCCTGGAGAAGGAAATGGCAACCCACTCCATTACTCTTGCCTGGAAAATTCCATGAACTGAGAAACCTGGTAGGCTACAGTCCTTGGGGTCGCAAAGAGTCAGACACGACTGAGCGACTTCACTTCACTTTTATATGAAAGTGAAGTGAAGTGAAAGTTGCTCAGTCGTGTCCTACCCTTTGTGACCCCATGGACTGTGCAGTCCATGGAATTCTCCAGGTCAGAATACTGAAGTGGATAGCCTTTCCCTTCTCCGGGGGATCTTCCCTTCCCAGGGATTGAACTCAGGTCTCCCGCATTGCAGGTGGATTCTTTACCAGCTGAGCCACAAGGGAAGCCCAAGAATACTGGAAGTATATAGGAGTAGGAAAATTATTGAAAGGTCTTCTACTTTATGGTGAAATTTTACAGAAATGATGAGAAATAATAGTGATGACGATTATAAACGTAGGAGAAGAATATGAGACTAGAAGACATGGAGATGGAAAAATAATGATTTAAGTGTAGAGAATGCTTTCTAGGCAGATGTTGATCCATTCATCCCAGTTTTTGGGTCTCTCCTGATTGTACCTGAAAGTCCACGTTTCTTCATTATTCAGGTATCTTATGTCATATTTTATAGCTGCAAACTTTGAGAGTGCCTTTGTAGACTACAGAAAAAGAAACCATTTAAGAGTTTTGCTGCTGTTTTACATAAACGTTCAATGCTTTTATATTTTCTATTTCCACTTTTTTGATTATTAAATATTTGTTATGTTTATTTGCATCTTTTAACTTTAAATTCAGCTTTCTGAGATTATTTTTGTTGCCCTTGTTTTATTTTGGTTTATGTTTGTTTAGTCTGGAAGATCCACTGGAGTAGGAAATGGCACCCCAGTCCAGTATTCTTGCCTGAAAAAATCCATGGGCAGAGGAGCCTGTGGACTATATCCCTTGGGGCTGCAAAGAGTCAGACACAACTGAGCGACTGAGCATGTTTGTTTGGTGTATTTATTCATTTATTTAGTAAATATTTGAAAAAGGTTTTTGTGTCTAGAATTGTGCTAGGCATTAGGGGTGAGATGAAGAGCGGTCCTTAAGGATTTTAGTATTTTTTTCGGAAAAGCAATGAAGAGAGTGTGTCAAGCAAAAAAGTGGCCTTAGCGGTTTTTTTTGGGGGGGGACAATCTGACAGCGATGTGAACAATCAGTTGGAGGAGAGTGTGTTAGTTTCCTGTAGCTGTGTAACAAGCTTTAGTGACTTAATACAACACAAAGTTATTATCAGAAAGTTTCCATGGATCTGGGCATGAGTTAGCTGGTTCCTCTGCTCAGGGTTTCACCAAGCTGAGGTCAAGATATTCTTGATGGCTGTTTTTTAATCTGAGACTCAACATCCTCTTTCAGGTTCACAATTTGTTGGCAGGATTCACTTCCTTGTAGGACTGAGGCCCATAAATTCTTGTTTGCTGTTAGGGGCCATTCTCAGCAGCTAGAGTGTACTTGGCATTTCCTATCATGTGGTCCTGTACACAGCATGGCAGTTTGCTTCTTCAGGTCCAGCACAAGAACCTCTGATGCATGCGCTCACTCCCTAGAAGCCACCTCTACCTGGGACAGTATCTCTTGGGTTAACTAAAAATTTCAGCTGATTTGGGGCCATAATTATATGTTCAAAATACCTTCACCTTTGTCCTATAACATAAGATAGTTATAGGAGTGAAATCCATCATCTTTACAGTCCTGCTCTCACTAACTGTGAGGGGATTTAGAGAGGAAGGGGACTTAGAGAACATGTATACCCAGTGATGGGAGTCTTGGGAACCGTCTTAGGATTCTAACACAGAGGGCAAAAGTGAGTGTGCAAAGATGAGTTTGGAGGCTATAGTAGTTACTACTCCTGAGGAGAAAGATACTTGCTGCTGTGTCTAGAAAGGTGACAATCTGATAGGGAGAAATGGGTGTATTTAAAAAGAAAAAAATTTAGAAGATTAAGTCAGCAAGGTTTGGCAATGAGTTCTTAATGGGAAGCAGGGAGGAAGAAGGAGATGTCAGGCATGAATCCTGATTTTGTGATACATACAACTATAAGAATATTGGTAACATTCAGTGAGACAGGAAACGCTAAACAAGATCTTGTTTGAGTGGGAAAATAATTAATTGGTATTTGGGCTTATTGAGGTCAAGCTATGACAAGACTGCATTTCAGAGAAAAGAGGCTAAAAGTGTAATATTGGGAGTTATGGTGCAAAAAGGCATATTCATATATTTGAATTTTCTTTGAATCTTTTAATTTGATATGAAGGGTTGTCCTTTAATGAAAAATTCAGCTCATTTATATTGATTATGACAACTAGCATGTTTTCTTATTCTATGTTTTAAAATATTTTGCTTTTGCTGAATTTAATCAGATTTTCTTAATCCCATGTTCCTCCCCACCACCCCTCAGAAGCATAGAATGATTATTCTCTCTATATATTCTGCTATTGATTTTCTTGATATTTTAAAGATACTTTGTTGATCACTTGCCTAAGAATAGAATTTTAGGTCCACATTATTTTTTCTCCCAGAACTTCTAAACATTTTCCAGTTATTTTCAAGTTTTAATTGTTGGATAGAGAATTTGATAGCTGTTTTCTCTTTTTCTATGTATGTAATAGTAATTAGTTTGTGTTCTAGCAACTTGAAGCTTTTTTTTTCCACTTAAATTCAGAAATTCATTCATCATTTACATGTAGTCAGTTGTTGTATTGTCTCCGTTTTCCAGCTGTAAGAAAAGATTGTAGCCTAAGAGTTTCAGCAACTTGACAAATTGTTAGAATAAGTAAGAAACTGAAATTGGAATATAGTCTAGCTCTTAATCAATGCTCTGTACCTACTCTAATATATAAACTTCAAAATAAGTCCCTAAATAATAAATACGTAAATTATTAGAATTTGTTTTTTAAGTGATAGTATTCAATCATCTAAGACATGTGCTTCCCCAACCCTCTTTTTAGGTTGTAGTGCCTTCAAATGTTGAATATTCTTTAAGTAATTTTCTTCATTTTTTAGATCAGTTTCAGGTTTTCACAAAAACTCAGTATATATACAGAGTTTCCATTAACTGGGGAAAGCTTGAGGTGAGGGAAAAAAATAAATCACGATAACTCCGTAATGAAAGAATTGTTAGTGTTTGGGGAGGAAGAGCTTGTAGATGTCACCGTGGATGACAGGCTGAAGACAACTAGGAATGTAAATGTGGTGGTATTATTATTGTTTCAAGTTCCACAGATAACTGATGCTGTTTGCTAACAGGTTTATTCCTATGCCTGTAATATTCTTCCTCACTTTAGCTGGCAAAGTTCATTTGTTAATAAACTTCCTATTCTATCTTCTTTACTAGGTGAAATATATACCCCAATTTTTAGTAAAACTATTTTGAATTGAGTGACCTACATTTTGCTTTTTTAATCTTTCATGGCAGTTTTAGCCTGGATTTCCTGAGTTGGATTAAATTAATGAGTATATATAGAAAACTTCAATTATAAATTATTGAGATAAAAATTAATTTATTTTTCAAGATAATAAGCTTTTTTTTTCCCAGATTGTTGCCAATTTCACTTGGATTCCTAACTTTTTTTTTTTTCCCTAGGCTGTGACAGTGAGGAACTCTATGGCTAAGTCTTTATATAGTGCCCTGTTTGACTGGATCGTTTTTCGGATTAATCATGCACTTATGAATAGTAAAGATTTGGAGCAAAATACCAAGGTAGACATATGTTGGACCCTAATATATTTTTCCTGAAAAACTGTTTTAATAAAATGGTTAATGCATGACATTTAAAAACACAGACTTGTATATAGCAATAAGTATATATTCACCTTAATTCACTTATAGTATTCACCTTATATCACCTTATAGTATTTCCTGATATTTCTCTCCTTACTACTGTTTCTATGACCTTATTCAAGGAAACTGTTCTTTCTGTACGTCAGAGCTTTTACCCTATGTCCTTACATTCCTGTAGATGTACCTGTACAGAGTTGCTTTTAAATGTAAAAAGAGGATCATGCTACCTGCATTGTTTCTAATTTGTATTTTTTTAACCTAGCTATGTCTTGATATATATCTGGACCTCATTATTTTTAATATTGTAATATTATATAATATGCATGTATAGCATAAATTCAAATATATTCAAATACATTTTTTATTGTTATAAATGATTATGTAAGAGATATTCTTTGTGCAGATTTCTCTAGGATAAAATTCTCAAATTGTTAGACTTAAGGATATGTATATATTTAAAAAGTTTGGTTGCTACTGCTAAGTGACTTTTCAAAAAAGACTACATCTCGTTAGAGATGAATGAAAGTGCCTGTTTCCTTGTAACTTTACTCAGTTGAATATTATCAGTATTTTCATCTTGCTAATCTGATAAGGGGGACTATTTTATTATGAATCTTTTCAGTGTTAGATGAAAGACGAGTATCTTCTCATGTTTTCTCTGTTTTATTATTTCTTTATATATTTTTGCTATTTTTATCTTATTTGTCATTTTATTACAAGTCATTTTGGATATTGCAGAGACAAAGTTTCTGATATATAGTGCAAATATTTTCTCTTAACTTTTAAGATTTGTTCGCATTATATTTTTAAGCCTATATATTTTAAAGTTTTGTCCCCAGTTAAATCTGTCATTATTTTACTTTATTGCCCTAGGTTTTATTTGTTTATTTTCCTTATATAGGAAGGGCTCGTCTAGGCCAAGTTTATAAAATATGAATGTTTATTCTCATACTTTTAGAATTTAATTTATGTTCATGTTTATGTTCACAATTATGTTTATGTTTTTTCCCCAGCTGGAATTTATTTTTTAACATGGTAGATCTTAGATATTTACCTTTAATCTTTTCAAATCCATTTTTATTCCCCAACAACTTTTATGAAATAGTCTACCTTTTCAGGCCAAATAGCAACGTCATTTTTATTACTTAATCCTACCATCTTAAATATATTAATACAATTGCTCTTATATGACCATGTCATGCCTTAAGTCCCCTAGTAGGAAAGTGATTTAAATTTTAATCTAATTTACCAAATTGATTTCTTTCTGAAGATCATTATTTTCGCTGCTTTTTGTAAGGGCTTAGAATTAGTCAGCAGAAGTAATCAAACAAAACACTCATAATGGAGACTTTTAAAAAAGTCTCTTGCTATTTATCACTCATTACATCAGTTTGCCCAGTATCTCTTAGCACCAGTGGAGAAAAATTGTTTCATTTAATCACAGCTGTCATACAACTCTATTTTAAGCATGAGATGGGGTGTGGGAAGAATAATAGTTTGGGGTGTTAGGACTGAATATTCAACAACCTTAGCAAGAAGTTAGAAGATTGTTTCTGGAAGTGTCATATCAAGAAATAGAAGAATAAACACTTTTTACTGTATTATACTATTTTGTACCACATAACTAAAAAGATTTGAGTGTTTTTGACTTCAGGGAGCAGAAATTGAGGATGGTGAAGTGGTTTGCTGTAATCTTTTTAGAACTGTTAAATGTCATAAATCTTTTTTTTTTTTTAAGTTAATGTCATAAATCTTGTATGACTACTTTTGCTAAAAATTTTTTAATGTTTTAACTTCAAGAAACCACATATTCTGATATCCAGTTTCATTTCTAGCCTGTGTAAGACAAGAAATATGCTTGTTAGCTTATCTTAAAGCAGAATTTTATTGGGATAGAGAAGTCAAACTAGGAAAATTTACATGGTCCTTTGGCAGAACCAGGCATACCCAGCGTTAACCTAGCTTTACTTTACTAACCTTCTGACTTTCCAATAGCTTTTTTTTTTTTCCTTCCCTTGTCTCTGGGGATTTAGAGATTTGTGGTATTGAGGTAACAAGTCTTTAACTCTGCTTTGTACATTTCTGTGAAGTAATCAATGAATTACATTTGTTAAAACTTTGAATCTATTTTTATAATTAAGATAAAAAGAAAATGATAAAGATAAAGAGAACTAAAATGCTTTTTATTTTTAGTATATTTTGGTTGACCACTGGGTCCCCTCAAGTTTTCCTCTACTGCTGTCGAAGAACTTTGAACATTTTGTTACTTATATTGTGACTGTTGTTCATGAAATAAATTTAAGCATCATTTTTTAACCATAATTTCTTTCTTGTTTTTCACAGACTTTGTCCATTGGTGTTCTTGATATTTTTGGGTTTGAAGATTATGAAAATAACAGCTTTGAACAGTTCTGTATTAATTTTGCTAATGAACGTTTACAACACTACTTTAATCAGCATATCTTTAAATTGGAGCAAGTGAGTACATGAATGGGCTTCCCAGGTGGCTTGGTGGTAAAGAATCCGCCTGCTGATGCAGGAGATGCAGGAGACGTGGGTTCAATACCTGGGTTGGGAAGATCCCCTGGAGGAGGAAATGGCAACCCACTCTAGTATTCCTGCCTTGAAAATCCCAAGGACAGAGGAGCCTGGCAGGTTACAGTCCATAGGTTCACAAAGAGTTGGACACAACTGAGCGACTGAGCACACACATGTGTGAGGATGTCAATGTGTGTTCACTTGCCCCTTCCCCACTCCCTGAACCCCCACCTGCACCTTCATATACACCACATAAGTTTTTTGAGTCATAGTCATGATAAGTATTTTAAGTGTTGATTTCAATAAAGATATTATTGTCTTCATATTAGTGTAAGGAAATTACAGATCAGAGCATAGAATTTTGGGCCTTATCACACAGGGTTTTCTGTTTTAATTAAAAGGCCTCAAGTAGAGTCAGTAATATGTGCTTATTTGATGAAACCTTTGAATGAAAAGATCTATGGATTTGTTTTGATTTTTGTTGATGTTTTTGATTTTTAATTGCTTTTGTGGCCTTGGTCACAGTGTGTCATATTAAGTATGCTTGTTTGATTCCTTTGATCTCTTTAGTTCAAGGATGGGATAGAGGAGCTTATTAATAGAATCTTAAATCAGCTTAGAATGTGGATACAAAGAAACAGGACAGTATAGAGAGACCAAATTGAGTAACTACATGTTTTTTATGAAATGCTCAAATTGATTGAATTAGGATAGAAAGAGTAAGCCATCAGTTTACATGAGAATTCTTAGGGTAACTGCAGGGTCGAAAGAAATGTGGGTTCTTTCTCTAAGCCAGATTTGAATTCAGTAAAAGTTGAGTTTATAGCCCAGAAGTTAAGTTTGTGTATGAAGACATAAATAGAAGGTGGGTTCACATTCAACTCAAAGGAATAATGAAGAAAAGAAATGAACAGAAAATCACAATAGTTTACTGTCATTGGGGCTTGCTCTGTCTTGTCTTTAAGCACAACTGTTTAAGCACCACTGTTAAAAGATAGTATTATTTTTTATAATATCACCTAACATGTAGTGCTTACCATTAAGTGATAGAAATAAAAATATACCAAAGATGCTTTGGGAGGAAACATTTTGAGAATTTTAATTACTGAAGTTCACGTCTAAGTCTTGCCCAAAATTAATACATGGGAGAGATATGTAATGTATTGCCATGCAGGATGATAGGTACTAAAATCAGATATAAGGTAAAGTAGTGATAGAAAGAGTCGGACACGACTGACCGACTTCACTTTCACTTTTCACTTTCATGCATTGAAGGAAATGGCAACCCACTCCAGTGTTCTTGCCTGGAGAATCCCAGGGACGGCAGAGCCTGGTAGGCTGCTGTCTATGGGGTCGCACAGAGTCAGACACGACTGAAGTGACTTAGCAGCAGCAGTGATAGAAAGGATGAAATTTATTAGAATTTGTTGAAAGTCTGCAGAGATTTCCTAGGAATAGAGTGATTCTGGAATAGAGTTTTGAATAGAAAGTTGAGCTCACCAGACTCATTAGGGAAAAGACATTTTAAACAAAGTTAACAATATCTTTAAAACTGTGAGGCATAAAATAGCACAGCACTTTTGATGAACTGGAAATGATTCAGTGTAGCAAAAATACAGGATATAGGATGAGGGCAGGAAAGGAGATAAATTTGATGAGATAGTCTCTATCAGATAGTTGTTCATAGAAGATTAGAATTTTTCTGTTAGAAAATGGGGAGCTATTTGAAGTATGTTAAGCAAACATTTGGATTGGAACTGTGGAAGATGTATTGAAGAGAGTCAATTATATTTCAGGCGCTGTTTAGGCATTGAAGATAAACAGTTTAGAGTTGAGGAATCTTATTGTCGAGTTCATAATCTAGGGAGTTGTTCTTTTTCCTGTCCCTCTTCTGGGGATGTCACACTAGAAAATTTTGACCAAACTTGCCTTGCAGAACATCTGAAAAATAAAACAACTGAACAAAACATAATTGAAAGCATTGGAGTACCTTCAAATAAGTGAAGTTTTACAGGGCTCAGATATGCAAGCATGAAATCTAGGGAGATGAGCTCAGCATTCAGGGAATGCTTTGTTGCTAGAGACATTTGTCTTCTGGTAGAAGGCTTCCAAAAAGGATTTTCTCCAGATTAAAGAGCGAAAGAGGAGCTCCCTGGCAACTCCCAGAGGCTTGAAGACCTCAAAGGGTTATATCTTATAGTAAAGGTAAAGCAGAAATGGGGCTTCTCCAGTGGCTCAGTCAGTAAAGAATCCACCTGCCATACAGGAGACTGCCTGTAATGCAGGAGACCCAGGCTCAATCCCTGGGTCAGGAAGATCACCTGGAGAAGGAAATGGCAGCCCACTCCAGTATTCTTGCCTGGGAAATCCTATGGACAGAGGAACCTGTCAGGCTACAGTCTGTGGGATCGCAAGAGTCAGACATGACTCAGTGACTAAGCCAACTACCAAAGCAGAAATAGAGCAGGCAGTCATCATAGGGACTAAAGCTCAGTGTAAAATAATTTCAGTTCCTGATTGGGTTAAAACAGCGTAGAATTTCTAGTGTTCTTAGCCACCTGCTAAGAGCAAATTCAGTCTCTGATGGAGAAAAAGATCATCTCATTACTAAAGTTATCTCTGCACTTTTTCACATGTGAGCATTCAGATTTTTAACTGAGATGTTTGTTTAAGACATACAAGGAAGGAAACCAACATGAAAAAAAACCAAGAGAAGTGAGACAGTAGACTACCATAGGGGATTCAGATAATGATCTTATCAAACTTGAACTTTAACAGTGGTTTCAAGAAATTTTTTAAAGTGATAATTTTATTAAAGAACAGCAAACTTTAAAAAAATCTTAAATTTAGGAAAATCTAGGACTAAAAATAGGTGAAATTAAGAACATAATATTAATTTTCACAATTAGATATAACTTAAGAGAAAATTAGTGATTTGGAAGATAGAAGTACCAGCTTGATGAATAAAGGCGGAAAATACAAATATTGTAAGAGACATATGGTACATAGTGAAAAGATCTAACATACGTGTTACAGGAATTCTGGAAAAACATATGTAAAAGTGAGAGAATAGGATTAAAGCTATATTTGAAGAAACAATGGCTGATAATTTTCCAAAATTAAAACAAAAAAAAAATCCAACATACGCACGTTTGAGAAGCCCTAAGAATGCAAATGCTGGATGAGTTACAAGCTGGAATCAAGACAGGAGAAACATCAACAACCTCAGATATGCAGATGATACCACTCTAGTGGCAGAAAGTGAAGAGGAACCAAAGAGCCTGTTGATGAGGGTGAAGGAGGAGAGTGAAAAAGCCAGCTTAAGAGTAAATATTAATAAAAAACTAAAATCATGGCATCCATCCCTATTACTGTGTGCCAGATAGAAAGGGAAAAGGTGGAAGTAGTGACAGATTTCCTCTTCTTGGCTCTAAAATCACTGTGGATGGTGACTGCAGCCATAAAATCAGACAAAGGTCTGTATAGTCAACACTGTGGTCTTCCCAGTGGTCATGTACGATTGTGAGAGCTGGACCGTAAAGAAGGCAAAACACCAAAGAATTTATGCCTTTGAACTATGATGATAAAGAAGACTCCTGAAAGTCCCTTGGAAATTTCACAGTATTGAAATCACACAGATCTCAAAACCATACTGAAGTTATATCAGAAACTACCAACAAAAAGATAACTAGAAAATACTTTATGATTAAAAGTTAAGAAATGAATTTCTAACTAGCTTAGAAATTGATAAAATTAGAGCACATATTGAACCTAATATGTTAAATATTAAAACTTGTGTCTAGGGCTAGTGCACTGGGAACACCCAGAGGGAGGGGGGATGGAGAGGGAGGCAGGAGGGGGGATCGGGATGGGGAATACATGTAAATCCATGGCTGATTCATGTCAATGTATGGCAAAAACCACTACAATATTGTAAAGTAATTAGCCTCCAACTAATAAAAATAAAGGGGAAAAAAAAAACTTGTGTCTAAAAGTGTACTTTAGTCACTGAAGAAATTTGACTAATGATATAATTAGAGGAAAATTTTATAGCTGTCAGAATATTTTAGGATTGAAGAGCAATGATTTAGCACATTTGAAAATGATCAGAAACCTAAACAAAAGGAAATAATAAAAGAGAAAAAATAAAAATGAAAACAAATATATTATGGGAAGGGATCAACAAAAATCATAAACTTGTAACATAAGTAATACTTTGAAATGACCAATAACATTTATAAAAGGCTCAAGAAATTAGTGGGAAAGAGACAGAGACACATAAAGACAGAGAAGGATATAAATAGCCAGAATTCCGATGATAAAGACTACATCATTGTATATCCTATACATATTAAAAAGTTACAGAATACACTAAACAACTTTATGTCCATAAGTAGACTTATCAAATAATCTGAGAAAAAACTTTTCAAAACTGTGTTGACACAGATAAAGTTCAAATCTTTTAGCTGTTGGGACTTCCCTTGCCGTCCTTTGGTTGAGAAGCCGCCTGCCAATGCAGGAGACATAGTTTCCATCCCTGGTCCAGGAAGATCCTAGTTGTCGTGGAGCAGCTACGCCCGTGTGCCACAACTAGTGAGCCTGGGCACTTGGAGCCCATGCTCTGCAGTAAGAGACGCCACCCCAGGGAGAAGCCTACACACAGCACCTCGAGAGTAGCCCCTGCTTGCTGCAACTAGAGAAAGCCTGTGTGCAGCAATGAAGACCCAGCGCAACCAAAAAAAAAAAATTATGTAGCTATTAAAGAAATTGAATATGTAATTAAAATTCTTTCCGTAAAGGACATTAAGCCAAAATGGCACCATTGATGAGTTCTGCCAATGGTGAGAGAAGTATTTTCAGTTTGACATAAATTTTAATGTGGAATACATAAAAGGGGACAATTCTGAATATATTTTGGGGAGCCAAGATAACCTAAGCCTGTGAAGAACATTAGGAGTTTTCAGTTTGCTAATATTTGTTTAAACATTTAAACAAATATTAGCAAATTAAATCCAGCAAGATATACAAAAGGATAATATATCAGAACCAAGTGGAGGTTTTTTTGGTGTGTATTACATCTGACCACCAATTAGTTTAACTCATCTGTTAACAAGACAGAAGAAGAAAAAAATTCATGGTGTTCTCAATAAAAATATAAAATGTGTTTGATAAAATTACATACTCATTCTTGTTCAAAACAAAACCTTTAGCAAACTAGGTATAGAAAGGAACTTCCTGATAAAGGCCATTTATAAAAAACCAACAGTTAATATCGTACTTAATGGAAACAGACTAAATGATTTCCCCCTAAGATTGAGAACAAGGCAAGGATGCTTTCTAAGAATTTTTATCATGAATGTAGGCATGTGAGGACATCCAAGTGGAAAGTAAACATAGGAAAAGATATTTCATTTATTAGTCTTTAGGGAAAATAAATCCATACTTAAATATTTCTAGGCATTCACCAGAATGAATAAAATGAAAAAACTGATAATACAGATATTAGAGAAATACTGTGCACTGGGAAGTCTCATACACTGGTGGTGGGTGCATAGATTGGTACAGCCACTTTAGAAAGTTGTTTGGCAGTATCTTCTGAGTTTATATGTTTGTAGTTTATAAGCCTGTGGTTTCACTCTCCAAATCTATATAAATGCTTACAAAAAGTTTTGTACAGAAATGTGCATAATGCCATTATTTTTAATAGTCAAAGTCAGAAATGAGTGTAACGTCCATCAATAGTCCAGTAGATGAATGTATTGTATATAAATATATCATTGGTTCTTGAAGAGTTAGTTATTCTTCTCCTACCCCTACTGGTACAATCAGTATCACCTAGGCACTCCTTCCAAATGCACTACCCCAAACTTGCTTATTCACAAATTCTGAGTTTGTGGCTGCTTTTTTTTTTTTTTAAACAAACTTTTCATGTGATTCTCTTGTATTTTAAAGTTTGAGAGTTAATACTCCATAGCAGATTTTGGCATGCCTTTTCTATAAAAAAGGATAGTAAATCAGTCTTCTGGGTTTTGGAGGCCATGTGGTCTCAGCTGTGCTATTACTTTGAGAAAGCAGCTTAGACAATGCATAAATGAGTAAATGTAGTACTCCATAACCCCTGTCTTACAGCAATTAAAATGCATGTACTTTAGATGCATTTGACAACATAGATGTTTCTCTCAAACATAATGTTGAGTAACAGAAGAAAAGCCAGATGAAAGAATATGTATTGCATGATTCTATATATATATATATATATATATATATATATATAATTTTTAAATTTTTAATAGTCAAAGTCAGAAATGAGTGTAACGTCCATCAATAGTCCAGTAGATGAATGTATTGTATATAAATATATCATTGGTTCTTGAAGAATTAGTTATTCTTCTCCTACCCCTACTGGTACAATCAGTATGACCTAGGCACTCCTTCCAAGTGCACTACCCCAAACTTGCTTATTCACAAATTCTGAGTTTGTGGCTGCTTTTTTTTTTTTTTAAACAAACTTTTCATGTGATTCTCTTGTATTTTAAAGTTTGAGAGTTAATACTCCATAGCAGATTTTGGCATGCCTTTTCTATAAAAAAGGATAGTAAATCAGTCTTCTGGGTTTTGGAGGCCATGTGGTCTCAGCTGTGCTATTACTTTGAGAAAGCAGCTTAGACAATGCATAAATGAGTAAATGTAGTACTCCATAACCCCTGTCTTACAGCAATTAAAATGCATGTACTTTAGATGCATTTGACAACATAGATGTTTCTCTCAAACATAATGTTGAGTAACAGAAGAAAAGCCAGATGAAAGAATATGTATTGCATGATTCTATATATATATATATATATATATAATTTTTATAAAGAGGTGAATTTTGTCAGTGGTATTAGAAGTTAGGATAATAGTTAGCTTTGAGCAGGAGGATCTGAATCACCATTGGGAAAATGGAATGAGAAGGGATTTTGAAATGCTAGTAAAGAATATAAAAATCCATATGCTTACACTATCTAGGATGCTTTTTATTCATGCTGTGAAAAGGAATAGGGAAAAAACTTTACTGTTGCTTGGGGGTGACCTTTATATAGCATTACTTGCTTGTGAAACTATTGAGGGGGAAGAATTAAGTTAGCATTTACTTTTTACAGTTAGAGTAACTAGTTTATACTAGGGCCCACTTTCCTTTACAGGATAATGATAATGCGGAAAGAGTGATTAAATTATTAAAATCACTGTTTCACGAAACCACTGTATTTGCTGAGAGGTATGCAAGTATAATCAGTGAATACTAAAACCATCAGATGAACAGGATATTAATTTGGTGCCTAAATATCATTGCAGTGTAGAACCTTCTTTATTTTCAGAATCATCTTTCTGCCAGTTTAAAAAGTAAAAGCATCACAGAGATGAATAAAAGTATTTATTTCCCATTGTAGAGGCTGAGGAAGGAACAATGGGGGCTTCATAGGAGAGTTTTGAATGGTTACTCAGTGTGTGATCTTTGAGTTACTTAGTCTTGGAATTGGGGAAACTACTCTGCCCCTGCCTTTTGAAAGTTATTGTGGTTTTTTTGCCAAAGTTCAGTATGTATGAATTCTATATGATTTTTATCAGCGATCACTGGAAGTGATAGTTTTCCACTTTTCTCAGACATTGTTTCATTGAATTCACTGTTGATGATCCAGTAGTTCTTTTTGATGGCTTCGAGTTGTGTGGGAGAAATTAGTCTTTTTCTTTTTATGTCTTTCCTTAGTGTAGTCATCAGATAGTGTAGCTAAAACAAATCAGACTTAATTTTCCATCTGAGTGGAATCACAAATAGGACTCTAATCAGAAAATTTGGTTGCATGTACCATTAAAAGAAAATAGACATATACTGTATCACGATTTTATGCAACTGAAATATACATTTCTTTCATTGTGTAGATTAATGAGTTTTAAAAGTTTAGTCTATTCTTTTAATCCTGGTAAAAACTTTTTAATCCTTATTCTCACATACCTTTTATTTTCTGCAAGATGAATAAATTGTTAATTTGTTATTTCCTAGGAGGAATATAGAACTGAAGGTATCAGCTGGCACAATATAGACTATATTGATAATACCTGTTGCATAAATCTTATTAGCAAGAAACCAACAGGCCTGCTCCATCTTTTGGATGAAGAAAGCAAGTGAGTATGATTCTGAAAAGAATCATAACAAAAGTTTTGTTATTGCCATTTGAGTTTTTCATGTCTTCTTAAGCCCTAAACTTTCTTCTTAATGTTATTAAGAGCTAAAGTTTCCCTGGTATGCATTTTTTTGTGTGTTTCTAAGAAATTGGATGGACTTGACTACTGAACTTGTTTTTTCCTTGACTTTATCCAAATTTCTTCTGCGAAGTCACTTTGGTGTTCAATTGTTGGTATATATTTTTTTGTTTTGGTTTCTGTCTTATTGAATTAAGTTTTAAATATGAGGTGTGTTTGCAGTTTTCTTGTTTAGTGGTGAAAAACATAATAATAGATTTGTGATATCTGCCATGGCTGTGCAAGTTTTTAGTGACAGCATATGTTAGATATTTGCCATCCCTTGGTAACACTGTTCAGTATACCAGACTTAAATATATATACTGCAGAAATAATGCTTCATGGAGCATCCTCTGCTATGTTCTCAGTGTTCTAGCAAGTATTATTATAGTTTAATTATCCTAAGAGATGGCAAATCTAGACTTGGAGAAACCAAAGTGGTGGAGAGTGTGTTGGTTTTCTATGACTCGTTAGTAACATATTTAGGAATTGAATTAGGTCATTTGATTCTTCGTTTAATACTATGCCCATTAAACTCAGGTATAAAATATTAAATAGTAACTTTCATAAGTAGGATGACTGTATACCAGGTTTGTGTAGGACAATTTAAAGTTTATACCTATTATTTATTTTAGTTATTAAAGGCAACTGTTTTTACTCTAAGAATATCCTGATAGGTATGGTAAGTTATATGTTGTTGCCATATTAATATACCATAAATTCACAGAATTGCTGCATAGAATTATAAAGTAATATGGCAGAGCTGCAAAATATATTGGAGATTGCCAACAATTATATCTGCCTTCCCATCATTAGTCTATTTTAATTAATCTAAATGAATTGAAATTCAGCAAAAAGCATTTTAATTTTATGTGCAAAGTTGTAAACCTTTCTTGTATTGCTCTATATTTCCCAAAACATACATTATCTCTTATAAAATTGTGAGGTTAGTGGTTCTTAACTCTGTTTACATGCCTTACTTCTGATGTATTTTATTTTAGAAAGTGTCATAGGTGATTTTGATACTTAGTATGGAGAACCATTGTGGTAGATATTGAAATGATAAGCAGTTATTTTGTTTGAGCTGTCTTATGCACAAGAAAATTTAAGCAATTTGAGAAAAAGATCATATGTATAGTAAATGATGGACTTGAGATTCAAACCCTCCAGTTATTTCTGAATAAGAAGCTTTATTTTTGTCTTTTACTTGAAGTTTTGTTTTCCTTTTTTATTGCGGTAACATTGGTTTATAATATTATGTAAGATTCACGTGTACATTATATTTCTACTTCTGTATACCCTACAGTATGTGCTCACTACCAAAAGTTTATTTTTTATCTGTCACCATACAGTTGATCCCTTTTACCAATTTCACCTTCCCCCTGCCCCATCTTCTCTGTTATATAAAAAACTAGTATACAAGCAAAATCAAAATACAAGAATAAACCAAACAAAAACACACATGAGCTACGAAGAGCAGAGTAATGAGCTCGTGCTTTGAAGCATTGTCCTTATTTGCTTCACCATAATGCTTAGACTGTGATGTCAGAAGTTCAGGGTTGTCTTCCAGCTCTATTAACTACCCTCAGCAAATTTCTTAATATCCTTAGTCCTCAGTTTTCCTGCATGCAAAAAGGAAATAATGATGATAAGTTATAATGCTGTCTACTCTATATCTTACAGTGGTTGTGAGCAGGAAATAAGCTATGGATATACAATTAAAACATGAATAGAGCAAAGGGGTCTTGTCTGTTATTCTTTAAGCAAAGTTTCATTGGGTGCACATCTTATTATGTTATACAAAGACCATCTTTACCTGGTCAGTTGCTACCTGACAGAAATGTAAATGTTGCCCAGTGAAGAGAATGTCACCTCTTTGCTGTTACCCAAAAGCTTGTGGGGTTAAGCCACAGGTTGAGAAATTACAGGAAGACAGACTTTGGCTCAGTATAAGAAAGAGCTTTTTATTCATTAGAACTGATTAGCAGCTGCTTCATAAAGTAATAGAATTTTCCATTATAGTAATTATTTTGCATCATCTATCAAGGTACTTTTGCAGGTAGGAGATTGGACTGAATAACCTCTTAATTGCCACTTCAATTGTGCTTCTATATCAACTCTCCATAAAATTTTTAAATAAACCATAGTATTATTTCCCTTGCTTTTAAGTCAGTCCTGTTATCTTTCCTTATAAATGGACCAGGTTTGTTTCTCTGTTTTAACGTCCCAGAAGATGCAAAGACATGAAATATTTTCCCTCTTTCATGTACCAGTAAAGAGGACTTGAAAATAAATTAGTATCATTTGGAAAGAGCTGTTTTTGAAATCACTTCGAGTATTTTTCCTCTAAAAATATTTTGTTCTGTAGAGGATATATTACATGAAATATCATTACTGGTATTCCTGCTTCATTCAGTGTGTTTGTAGTGCTTTAGGACCACATGTTGGTAATTAGAATTCTTGTTTAATCTTGTCTTTGTTGTCTGCTGGCTGTTCAAATTTTATAAATTAGATTCTAAAGGATGCAGTGTGGAGTTTAGAAAGGAGGAATGTTGTAAGCAAGGTGAAGAGTGTTACTAGTCTTTTCTGTGGTTCTCAATGTGATCTGCTGACAGCAGCACTGGCAGCATCTTAAAGGTTGTTACAAGTACAGTCTCATACTTCCATCCCAGACTTCTTGAGTCAGACTCTGTTTTTATTTAAAAACTGAAGTTAAAATCAGAGCATTCATTTAGGCCAACATTTTATCAGTCTTGCTTGGTTGTAAGAATTAACCTGGGGAACTTATAAATAGTAATTTGTCACTGGCCTAGCATCAATTCAGTAGAATCACAGGAGGTGGGGTCCAGGCATTGGTATTTTTGAAAACTCCTTAGGGTAGCCTTATATTAGTGCAAAGAAACAATAATCTAAGGCTACCCTTGCAGGTAGTCTTTGGGGAACATTGATGAAGAGTTTTGAAATTCACAATAATGTCTGCTTGGCCTCTGTTCCAGGCTCTTTTGCTTGGTTATGTAGTAGGTATCCACAATTGTTTATTGAATGCAGGACTGGTGGAAAGCTTTTTTTCCCATCTTCCCTTGTTTGGAATAGAAACTGCCCTTATATTTGTTCTCATTAATTATCTTCCAATAAAAAAAAAAATTATCAATAAAAATGGCAAAAGATGTAAATAAACAATAAAAGTGTTCCATAAACATGAAAATTAGCATTGGTTTTAATAAAGGAAATTTAAATGGAAACATTTAATTGTTTCCATTGTTTATCCAAAAAAAAAAAAAAGAGAGAGAGAAACAAATCACAAGCTTTTTAATGACCCAAAGGAGTAGAAGAAAAATAGACCTTTACCCAGAAACAATGAGATGAACATCCTTCCTGAAAAGAAGCATGCTGCTGTGGAGTAGTGAGAGGTGTGTTTGCAGAAGTTGGATTGGTCTGGGCTTAGAAGCTTGTATTTCAATTATCTGAAGTAGGGGAGGCACACCATTAAAAGCACATTGTAGGAAAATTTATTTTGGTAGTTCTGTCTGGTGACATGAAACTTGGTAAAATTAGAATCACTAAGCTTATTATAAAGGTTGTTGCTGTACTCTCTAAAATTGTTCAAGAGTTGTAACCTGTTCTGGAATGGCTGTAGAGTTCTGGGAAGGAGAGAAAAGCCTAGAGGAAGGGATAGTGTTTGATGCAAAAGCAGGCCTCAGTTGACTAGGAAAATGGCAGTGTTGCTAGCATAAAAAAGTAGATTACATTTATATCATCCCTATAGGATGTCAACTAATGTTAGGTATTTTTACTAGTGTTATTTAGTTCTTCCAGCACTATCATTCATTTTACTCATTTATGGATTAACAGATCAGTTCCTAAAGAAGGTTGTACCTAACTTGCCAAGGTCACAGATAGAATTAGTAATGTAGGTAATGACTATCTGACATCAAAGACCATTCTTCTTCCTGGTTCCAATGTGTACTATGTAATTAACCATTTTTCTTGTAGTTTTGGAATCATTTTAATGCATTAGATATTGTATTCAGCATCTTTATATCTCACATCACATTATTTTTCATTATTTCAACTACTATTAAATGAAACTATTCTCTGAAAGATACTTGCCCTCTACTTTTTTTGTCAGTGATTATTTTCTCTGTTTGAAACTCCTACCAGACTTTTAAAATATAGCTTGTAATTGCCTCCTGTATCCTCTTGAATCTTTCCATTATTCCCAACCACTAGTGATTTTTTTTTTTTCTGTTCTAAAGTTTTATATGTCTATACTACTATTATTGCTAGTATTATACTATATTCCCTGGTGGCTCAGTGGTAAAGAATCTGCCTGACAATGCAGGATATGCTGGTTCGATCATTGGGTCAGAGAGATCCTCTGGAGAAGGAAATGGCAACCCACTCCAGTATACTTGTCTGGGAAATCCCATGGCAAAGGAACCTGATTGGCTCTAGTCCATGGGGTCACAAAGAGTTGGATACAACTTATCCACTGAGTAAGTACTACTATTATGTAGTTGCTTCTTAATAAATATTATTTGAATGATTCCCAGATATGAAATGTTTGTCAGTGAATGTGTATTTGAAAGAATAATAGACATAATATAAAAACATTCAGTAACTGATATAGGTAAGAAAATTACTACTTAATTTGTAACAACAACAAAAAACTGACTCTGGATTTAAAGGACCTGTCCAACCTGAGAGGTCATTCCCCTTTTGCAAGTTCTTGAACCCAAGCAACATATGATTTGGTTTTTATTATCCTTTGAGTCTTATGGCCCAAGATAAACATCTAAAGACTCGAGTAACTTTCTTACTTCTGATACTTGCATAGTATGTGTTAGGCAGGTCACAACTTTTGAGCTCTCCTCTACAAAATAAGAATACTAAATCTTCTTTTACTCATCTTTCAGATTGTTTTGTTGTTGTTCAATCACTAAGTCATGTTTGACTCTTTGCAACCCCATGAAATGTAGCACACTAGGCCTTCCTGTCCCTCACTATCTCCTGGAGTTTGCCCAAGTTCATGTTCATTCAATCAATGATGCCATCCAGCCATCTCACCCTCTTCACCCCCTTCTCCTCCTGCCCTCAGTCTTTCCCAGTGTCAGGGTCTTTTCTAATGAGTCAACTCTTCGCATCAGGTGGCCAAAGTATTGGAGCTTTAGCATCAGTCCTTCCATTGAGTATTCAGGGTTGATTTCCTTTAGGATTGATTGGTTTGATCTCCTTGCTGTCCAAGGGACACAGCACCACAGTTCAAAAGCATCAGTTCTTCAGTGCTCAGCCTTCTTTATGGTTCAGCTTTCACATCCATGCATACTACTGGAAAAATGATTATCTTTGACTAAATGAACCTTTGTCAGCAAAGTAATATCTCTGCTTTTTAATAGACTGTCTAGTCTTGTCATAGGTTTTCTTCCAAGAAGCAAGCATCTTCTAATTTCATGGCTGCAGCCACCATCTGCAGTGATTTTTGAGCCCAAGAAGAGAAAATCTGTCACTGTTTCCACTTTTTCGCCTTCTGTTTGCCATAAACTGATGGGACCGGATGCCCTGATCTTAGTTTTTTTAATATTGAGTTTTAAGAGGGGCTTTTTCACTCTCCTCTTTCGCTTTCATCAAGAGGCTCTTTAGTTCTTCTTCGCTTTCTGCCATTAGGATGGTGTCATCTTTATATTTGAGGTTTCTGCCATTAGTCTTGATTCCACCTTGCGATTCATCTAGCCTGGCATTTCCCATGATGAACCGTGCATAGAAGTTAAATAAACAGGGTGACAATATATAGCCTTGTTGTACTCCTTTCCCAATTTTGAACCAGTCCTTTGTTCCATGTCCGGTTCTAATTGTTGCTTCTTGCCTCACAGACAAGAAACTCTTTTGTTTCTCTCAAGAGCCAGGTAAGATGGTCTGGTATTCCCATCTCTTTAAGAGTTTTCCACAGTTTGTTGTGATCCATACAGTCAAAGGCTTTAGTGTAGTCAATGAAGCAGAAGTTGGTATTTTTCTGGAATTCCCTTGCTCTTTCTGTGATCCAGCAAATGTTGGCAGCTTGATGTCCGGCTCTTCTCAGCTTGTTATGAGAATTTATTTAAGTGAAAACTCTCTGTAACTTGCTAAATTTGTTAGATGAAATTATAATTATTTTAAAAATACTTTATTAACTGCTGCACTTTTCTTTAGTGTTTTTGTTTTTATTTTTAATTTAGCTTTCCACAGGCTACAAATCAAACACTGCTGGACAAGTTTAAGCACCAACATGAAGAGAATTCTTACATTGAATTTCCAGCTGTGATGGAGCCTGCTTTCATCATAAAGCATTATGCCGGGAAAGTAAAATATGGGGTAAAGGTCAGTAAATTTCTCATTGAATAAGCCTTTAGGACAGAGGAGTGTTCTTAACTGTTATCACCATCCCTGTTATACTGTTTTCTTTGTAGTTGGTCAATAGCAGTGGGAGGAATTTTATAAGGATACTACCAAAATTCATACTGTTCTTTGCAGTATTTTGCTGTCATTAGCTGATGGTTTTATTGGGTTTTTCCTACAGCTAAAATTGATGTCAATCCATTCTAAATGTAGTAGCCTTTTTATCTTGTTTATATCTATCTCTTTAAATTTGACTTTTATTTCCTGGTGGGGTTCAGTTGGTTGGTTGATTTTTTTTTTTATAATTGGTTTAGTTGACTTATAACGCTGTGTTAGTTCCAGGTATGCAGCAGGCGTGCAGCAGTTCAGCTCTGCATATACATGTGTCCATTCTGTCTCAGACTCCTTCCTCAGACTGGTCATTACACAAGTGTAATAGCCTTCTTAGATCTTCAAGAGTAGATGCCATTGGTAGGTTTTAAACCCACTAGTTCATCTATGTATGGTTGGTTGAATTTTTCTCTTCTCTGCATCCGTGAGGCCTCACGTCCTCGTGTACCCTTGGATATTTGTGAGCTTGAGCTCCTAGTGACTGTGTTGAGGTTTAACTCCTGCAGGAAGGCGTCTTCATGGTTCTGCCCATCCCTTGTTTGTCACTGAGGAACCCGTTACCTTTCAGCCACTTGATGTTTAAGTCTGACACTGAAGGCGATTTCTAGGTGAGGTAGTGATGCTGTGGAATATTGTGGAGCAATATGTTTTTCCTGGATCTTGAGGTGAGAGTCAGAATTAAGGCCACTCATTCACTCATCAGTGATTCATTTATTCAAGAAGTAGTTATTAAAACATGAAGCACATGTCAGACTCTCTGCTGCTAATTTATTACTAGATCATTCTAAACACAAAGCACAGAGTCTGACATTTGTGTTTAGAATGATCTAGTGATTAATTAGCTCATATGATCTTGGTGTATAAATAAACGTACAGGTTCTATGAGAGAAAGTAGTGAATTAGTCGATTTTTAATTTGTAGGTAATGAACACCTCCTTCAAAACTCAAATTTTGAGAGATGATCTGAAGTAAATGTTACCTCGGTGAGGGGTTGGAATGATGAATAGGACAGAATAGATGATGATAGGACAGAATTTAATATGTTAAAATAATTGAAAACAGGTCAGCATTGCTAGATTATAGTGATCAAGGAACATAGTGGCATGAAGTCAGTTTAGAGAATGGGCAGTAACTTAGTTCTTCAGGGCTTCTTGATCAAGTTAAAGGAGTTTGGTTTTTGTTGACATTCTCATGAGGAGCCATGAAAAAATTTTAAGCAGAGGATATGTTATGTGTTTTAAAAAATTGATTTCTCAGAGGAGAAAGAATAGCAGAGAGAGATTGGGAGCTGGGAGATCAATGAAACATTAAGGTAAACTGGACCCCTGAGGTGGCAGTAGAGATGGAAGAGATCTAAATGATTATGAGATAGTTTTGGAGATGCAATGAGTAAACCTTGTTGATGGATTATAGTTAATTGACTTCTGGCTGTAGCTGATGGGTGAATTTGAGGTGCTATTTTCTGAGATGGAAAAGACAAGAAGGAACAGATTTTAGAACACACATTTAGAATAACAGAGTAGAATGGTGGTTATTAGTTGGTGGGGGAGTTGAGAGGCTGCCTAAGGATAAAAACCTGCAGTTAATTTCTGGAGTTCTGATGTACAGCATTATAATTATAGTAAACAATGTGTTTATAGTTAGCATTGTGATTATACCACTGTCTTCAAAGTTTCTAAGATAGACCAGATCTTAAATGTTCTTACCACAAAAAAATGATGATTGTATGACATAATGGAGGTGTTTGTTAACTTTAAAATGGTAATCATATTACAGTTTATAAATGTATCAACTCAGTATTAATATTTTATACACCTTAAACAATGCTGTGTGTCAGTTACATCTAAATATATAAAAATAAAGTCTAAAACAAAAAAATCTTGACCTATAAAATCACATAGCAAGGTACATAAAATGCAGAAATCTCAAGTGTCCAGATTTCTCTCATGCCCCTTCCAGGCTCATTCTCCCCCACCCAGAAGTAAACATGACTGTAATTTTTTACCCTTAGTTTTTTTTTACTTATTAAATTTCAGATAAATAGAATCATACAATATATGCATTTATGTCTGTGATTCATTCATTCTTATTATCAGATAGGTTGAAAGTAAAAGGATGGGAAAAAGACACACTAGGCAAACCCTAACAAGAAGAAATCTTCTGTAATTACATTATTATTGGACCAGGTAGGCTTTTATGTCTGTGATTCATTCATTCTTATTATCAGATAGGTTGAAAGTAAAAGGATGGGAAAAAGACACACTAGGTAAACCCTAACAAGAAGAAATCTTCTGTAATTACATTATTATTGGACCAGGTAGGCTTTAAGACAAGAATCAATCAAAAAAAAAAAAAAAAAAAAAGACAAGAATCATTATTAGAGACAAAGAAGCACACTTCATAACAATAAAAGGGGCTTGTTTCAAGAAGACATAATCAAAAGTTATATGTACCTAGTGACTTCACTTCAGGCTAAAAGGGTAGCTAGACAAATTTATCATTAAAGCTGTAGATTTTCATACATATCTTTCAGTAACAACAAAATATGCAGACATGAAATCAATAAAAACAGAAAAATTGAACAGTACTGCTTAATAACTGACCTAATTGGCACATCATAAAGATAACTAGATACCCTATGGTGTTTAGAAATTAAGTGAACTTCTTCTGTGTAATCCCTGAGTTAGAAAAGAAATCACAAGTGATAATATTTTAAACTGAACATTAATGAAGATATAGCATATCAAAATTTGTAGGATGCATTTAAAGCAGTGATTTATACCTTTAAAAGTATATGTTAGAAAGGAAGACTGGTTGGCAAAACACTAGGGAAAATCAGCAAATTAAGCTAGAAGAAGGAAATAATAAAGCAAAGCCTAGAAATCAATGCAATAAAAAAGACATTTAGTAAAAGAAATGAGCAAAGCTAAAAGTTAGTTCCTTTAAAAAATAACTGAAAATAATACAGATGATCCTTGAACAGCATAGTTTTCAGTTGCGGGGTCCACTTGTACACAGTTGGAGATGTGTCTGGTGGTGAAAGTAAAGTCCGATGCTATAAAGAACAATACTGCATATACTGGAATGTTAGGTCGATGAATCAAGGTAAGTTGGATGTGGTCAAGCAGGAGATGGCAAGAGTGAACATCCATGTTTTAGGAATCAGTGAACTAAAATGGACTCGAATGGGTGAATTTAATTCAGATGACCATTATATCTACTTATATGGGCAAGAAACCTATAACCTGTACAAGAAATGGAGTAACCCTCATAGTCAACAGAAGAGTCCAAAATGCAGTACTTGGATGCAATCTCATAAAGGACAGAATGATCTCTGTTCATTTCTAAGGCAAACCATTCAGCATCACAGTAATACAAGTCTGTGTCCCAACCACTAATGCCAAAAAAGTTGAAGTTGAATGGTTCGATGAAGACCTATAAGACCTGATAGAATGAACACCAAAAAAAGATGTTCTTTTTATCATAGGGGACTGGAATGCAAAAATAGGAAGTCAAGAGATATCTGGAGTAACAGGCAAGTTTGGCTTTGGAGTACAAAATGAAGCAGAACAAAGCTAACAGTTTTGCCAAGAGAACGTACTGGTCATAGCAAACACTCTCTTCCAACAACACAAGAGACTACTCTACACTTGGACATCACCAGATGGTCAGCACCAAAATGAGATTGGTTATATTCTTTGCAGCCAAAGATGGAGAAGCTCCATACTATCAGCAAAAAAAAAGACCAGAAGATGACTGTGGCTCAGATCATGAACTGATTGCAAAATTCAGACTTTAAATTGAAGAAAGTAGGGAAAACCACTAGATCATTCAGGTATGACCTAAATCAAATCCCTTACGATTCTACAGTGGAAGTGACAAATAGATTCAAGGGATTAGATAAGATAGAGTGCCTGAAGAACTATGGACAGGGATTCGTGACATGGTACAGGAGGCCGTTATCAAGACCACCATCCCCAAGGAGAAAAAAATGTAAAAGGCAAAATGGTTGAGGATGCCTTACAAATAGCTGAGAAGAGAAGTGAAAAGCAAATGAGAAAGGGAAAGATCTATCCATCTCAATGCAGAGTTCCAAAGAATAGAAAGGAGAGATTAAAAAAAGCCTTAAGTGATCAATGCAAAGAAATAGAAGAAAACAACAGAATGGGAAAGACTAGAGATCTCTTCCAGAAAATTAGAGATAGCAAGAGAACATTTCATGCAAAGATGGGCACAATAAAGGACAGAAAAGGTATGAACCTACCAGAAGCAGAAGATGTTAAGAAGAGGTGGCAAGAATACACAGAAGAACTGTACAGGAAAGGTCTTAATGACCCAGACAACTACAGTGGTGTGGTCGCTCACCTACAGCCAGACATCCTGGAGTGTGAATTCAAGCGGGCCGTAAAAAGCATCACTACGAACAAAGCTAGCGGAGGTGAGGGAATTCCAGCTGAGCTTTTTCAAATCCTAAAAGATGATGCTGTTAAAGTGCTGCACTTAAAATGCCAGCAAATTTGGAATACCCTGCAGTGGCCACAGGACTGGAAAAGGTCAGTTTTCATTCCAATCCCAAAGAAGGGCAATGCCAGGGAATGCTCAAACTACCACACAGTTGTACTCATGTCACATGCTAGCAAGGTAATGCTCAAAATCCTTCAAGCTAGTACTTCAGTCAAGATAGTACTTAAATCAGTAGTACTTGAATTGAGAACTTCCAGATGTACAAGCTGGATTTAGACAAGGCAGAGGAACCAGAGATCAAATTGCCAACATCTGTTGGATCATATAAAAAGCAAGAGAATTCCAGAAAAACATCTGCTTCATTGACTACGCTAAAGCCTTTGACTATGTGGCTCACAACAAACTGGAAAATTTGTACATCGAGGCTGTATCTTGTCATCCTGCTTATTTGACTTCTATGCAGAGTACATTATGGGAAATGCTGGGCTGGATGAATCATAAGCTGAAATCAAGATTGCTGGGAGAAATATCAACAACTTCGCATATGCAGATGATACCACCCTAATGGCCTGAAGCGAAGAGGAACTTACGAGCCTCTTGATGAAGGTGAGAAAGGAGAGTGAAAAAGTTGGCTTAAAATTTAACATTCAAAAAACTACGGTCATGGCTTCTGGTCCCATCACTTCATGGCAAATACCTGGGGAAAAAATGGAAACAGTGACAGACTATATCCTTGGACTCCAAAATCACCGCAGATAGTGACTGCAGCCATGAAATTAAAAAACTCTTTTTCCTTGGAACAAAAACTATAACAAACCTAGATAGTCACTTAGCATAGCAAAGGCTCGTCTAATCAAGCTATGGTTTTTCCAGTAGTTTTGTATGGATGTGAGATTTGGACCATAAAGAAGGCTGAGGACCAAAGAATTTATGCTTTTGAACTGTGGTCCTGGAGAATACTCTTGAGAGTCCCTTGGACAGCACGGATATCAAACCAGTCAATCCCAAAGGAAGTTAACCCTGAATATTCATTACAAGGACTGATGCTGAATTGAAGCTCCAATACTTTGACCACCTGACACAAAGAGCCAATTCACTGGAAAAGACCCTGACACTGGGAAAGACTGAGGGCAGGGGGAGAAGAGGGTGACAGAGGATGAGATAGTTGTATGGCATCATCGACTCAATGGACATGAATTTGAGCAAACTCCAGGAGATAGTGAGGGACAGGGAAGCCTGGCGTGCTGCAGTCCATGGGATGCAAAGAGTTGGAAACTATTGAACGACTGAATAACATCTTATGCACAGACATCTTTCAGTAAATAGATGCTGCAGTACTGTGTGAGCCATGATCGATTGAATCCATGAATGCAGCACTGTAGATGCTCTGAAGATCTGACTGTAAAGTTATTTGGGGATTTTCAGCTGTGGTTTTGGTCAGCATTCCCAACCCCCATGTTGTTCAAGGGTAAACTATATAAGTAAAAGATAACAGAAAATAACTAATGAAAGGAGAAAGAATCACAGATAGCAGAACAGGTAGCAGAAACAAAAAAGGGGATTTAACTACACACTCTCTAGATACTTAAAAGATATGAACATGTTTTGCCGATAAATTTGACAGTGTAAAGTTGAAAATTCCATGAAAAAATATCACCAAAATTGACACCAGAAAATATAGGAAAACTTAAAAACCCTATGTTTATTAAGTAATTTGAATCAGTAATTTAAAAGTTTCTACAAAGGGAATTCCAGGTCCACATGGTTTCACTGGTGACTGCTTTAAAGCATATCAGCAATACTAGTGTTACACATTTTTCTTTCAAGTTTGAGATACCTTTAAAACGTATAAATGCATCTTCAGACATAACAACAAATATCTGAGCTGGAAATACAGATTTGGGTTTCATCATTTTAGAGTTTAAACCACAGTTATGGTTGAGATAAACTGATGTAAGATGATCAGAAAATATGAGTACACAAGATGAAACTCTAAGAATTTTCAATACAGAACCAACAGTGGGGACTGAGAAGGGATAACACAAGATGTAAGTAGTAAGTCATAAGCTGCATTGTCATAGAAAGCAATAGAAGACAGTTTTAATGGTGATGGGATTAGTTTATGAAATGTACTTAGGAATGTAGAGATATGAAGACAGAGAGCCAGGACCATTACGTTGGGAAATGTTGATGACTATTAACATGGAAAAGAAATATAGAATTTTAGGTTTTACAAGAAGTGTAGTTGTTAGTAGGACAGAATGATCTTTGGAGTAGGGCAGACTGATGTTTTAGTTCCTGTAGCAGTGCTTATTGTGTTTGACTTCTGATGAACTTCTTTCTCCCTCTGATTACTTGGCAGGGAAGTTTGGTTTATATTTGCACCTGCTTTACTGAGTAATTGAGAGTTAAATTAGCTATGTGTCATGCTTAACTTAGAGCCTGGCATGTGTCTGCCCTCAGTCTTTGCTGCTGCTGGCCTTTTGATTTGAAAATTCTTCCTCAGTTTTACTAACTTTTATAATATATACTTTTGCTCAAAGGGTACTTAGGGACAAACTAAGCACCAAGACTTTTGACTTGTTTCCCACTTCCCGCTGTTTTCGGGAGAACCAGGAATTATTAGGAAAGGAAAGTCCCAAAGGTAGCAAGATGAGTCCAGGCTGCCTTGTGGACCTGAGCGTTGATGACATCAAACTAGGCATGACCCTCAGCGAATTCTGAGTTAGGGCTATTCTGTGAAGCTGCACTGACATGAAGTAATTTACTCACCAGTCCTTCCATCTGGGTGTGGCTATAGTCAAATGCCTAGACTCTATGTATCCCGTCTGGGACCTTCTTCTAGGAGTGTAAGTTTCTTGCTCTCCTTATCTTATTTTGGGGTATTTAAACTCATTTTCTTCTGTTCTATCATCTCTTACCTCCATTGGCAAGAGGTTTTAACTGGCTATTTACATTCCTTTGGTAATCTTATCCAACTTTAAAAATGTATATGCTGATGATATCCAAATGTGTTTTCTGAAATCTGTTAGACTCTAGGCACATGTATCCATCTGCCTACTTGATGTCTGTATGCAGACATAGTATAGTGGTTAGGAGTGGCTATGTTTGAACCTCTGTTCTTCTCATTAATGTGTGATAGGGGCCAATATAGTTAACTTTTCTGTGACTCAGTTTCCTCATCTATAAAGCAATAATAATAATATCATCCATCTCAAGGACTTGTTAAGGTATATCTATCTCAAGGACTTGTTAAGGTGATGAAATGAGGTTCAGTGAGACAACGTGTGTAAAATACGTGTGTGCCATTTACTTAGTAACTTCTCAATAAATGTTGCTTGCTGTTGTCATTATTTTCAGCATCTCAAACTTCACTTGGACAAAACTTGTCTCCTGATCATCATTTTCTATACTCATATCTTTTCTTTTCTTAAGTCTTCTCTATATTAGTATACATAGTACCTCCACCTACCTCGTTGCTCAAACCCAAAATATAGGTGTTAACCTAATTCTCTCATTCACTCACAATGCTCTAATTCACCAGCAAATCCTTTGCCCTTACCTCTAAAAAATGTCCCAAATATGTAACCATTTTCCTTTTCCTGTAGTACCATCCTCATAGTCCAAGTCACTGTCAGCTCTTATTTGGAATACTGCAGTAGCTGGTCTCCTTTCTCCATTCTTTGTACAATTAATTCCCTCAGTAGCAGTCAGTGATGTTTATAAAACATCAGTTCAGTTCAGTTCAAAAACATCAGTTAGTTCATATCATTATCCTTCCAGTGGCTTTCCTTGACACTTGAATAAAGTCCAAACTCCTAACTCAGTCTTATGTAGCTTACATAGCCTATTTGTATCCCTTTTCCTGTACCTCTGTCACCCTTGCTGAGAATGCTCTAAGCCTTAGTTTACTTTCTCCTAACTTCTGCAACTTAGCACAACCTATAGGTAATAGGTGTTCCTTTTGAGTGAAATGTTGTTCCTGGTCTTCTCATTTCTGGCTTCGTTTTATTACTCAACTCTCTTTGTTGTTTTATGTGATAGTCCCTTAGAGAGTCTCTCCCAGACCAATGCTTAACAAGCTGCAATGTGTTGGTGGAATGTTCATTCTAATTTAAATGAATTATAGAATTAAATAGTTTTAGGCTTGGATGGGATTTTATAGAGGATATCTATCTGGTCCATCTAGCTGGCTAACGCAGAAATCACTTCTATACCCTTATTCAGCCACTGTTCAAATATGTCACCCATTTTTTTCTTGGCTTAATACATTTTTTCAAAAATAACACTGGTATTTTTTTCATGTAGGATTTCCGGGAAAAAAATACAGATCATATGCGCCCTGACATTGTAGCTCTTCTGAGAAGTAGCAAGAATGCATTTATCTCTGGGATGATTGGAATTGATCCCGTAGCTGTTTTCCGATGGTCAGTTCTCCGAGCTTTTTTTAGAGCCATGGTTGCTTTCAGGGAAGCTGGGAAAAGACACATTCAGAGAAAAACTGGTAAGCAATAGACATCAGTGTTCTGCCATGCTTCTTTTTTTTTTTTTTTTTCTTTTTTTAAACCATGCCCTAACATCGTGTTTCAGATCTGAGTGCTGGTGAACTTTATGTATGTGTGTATATATATATTATTAATAAATATTGATAGGAATAATGAGTGTAAAGCACCTGGTATTTCTTAGGCATACTGACATTGGTAAGATTTTTAAGCAAAAAGTGAAATTATTATTTAATAGTATAGAACTTAATATTGATACTGTTCTCTGTTTTCTTCTAATGTCATAGTTTTTACTACAAATGAAACATAATGTTGAAGCATAAATCAGGAGACAGAAAAATTAGGATAGAGGTAGTATAGTATAGTGGATAACCCAGCTTCACTTGTCATCTCTTTTGTCATCAGTTGAATCAGTTGTCATCTCTTCTCTTGACTGATTTTGTGACTGTTAGCTGTTTTACTTGGAGTGTTAATAGCACCTTCAATATTATGAGGGTAAAATTAGATAATACATGTAAAGTGTCTGCTTATGAAGTGTAATTTCTGTTTCCTTATGCTTAATTTAGTTAGCTGAATTTTACTTTAAAAGTTAGAAATGGATAAAGCTGGGTACTCTTGTGTGTGCCTCCCTGCTGTAGCTCTAACCTTAGATAGACCATGGCTGCATGGTGAGGATTTTCTAGTACATATGTAATCATTTAAAATAATATTTTTCTGCCAAGAAGCCTCAGCAGAAGTGCGAGAGGATACACTTTGTGCTTTCAGGGCTCCTAACCCACTCCAGTATTCTTGCCTGGAGAAATCCCATGGACAGAGGAGCCTGGTGGGCTGCCGTCTATGGGGTCGCACAGAGTCAGACACGACTGAAGCAACTTAGCAGCAGCAGCAGCAGGCTTACTTATGTGGCTTTTTGGCATGTGCATTAGCAGTGAAAATTTAAATTTGGCTGTTATATTTTTTAAATGAATAAAATATTAGAAAGATTGTATTTCTAAAATGAGAGGCAAAAGTAATTGAATTTCATTTCTGTACTTCAGATTATAATGTGTGTGAACTGGCTTTTGTGAACAGAACTATATATTTTTTTTGAAAATAGAAGGAAAATCTTAAAACTGCTTTGCCTTTGCCAAAATTATTTCTAAGAGGCTATCTCTGCAAAAAACTTGAAACAAATTTAAATTGAGGTATAATGCACATATGACATTTTATTAGCTTCAGGTATATAACATAATGATTCAGTATTTATATATACTGTGAAATGATTCCATCCATCACTATACAGAGTTACAAAACGTAATCTCTTGGCCACTTTCAAATATGTACTGCATTATTGACTACAGTTACCAGCAGAAAATTAAAAGGAAAAGTTTTTTTTTAAAGATGCATTCTTATTTATTACAGTGGACATCAATTTATCAATATTGAAAAATGTGTCAATTCTGGAAATTGATACACACTCTACTAAGACTTAACTAAGACAATAAACCTTTCTTATATTTACTATTAAATACTTTGATTTTTGTAAAAGTTACATTGCATGTTCTTTTGGTATTTATTATTTGTGAAAGCTGGTTCTGTGTATATTAGTATTAGTACAAAGACATGCAATGTTACTAATGCTACTAATGATCAATCAGCTGAGCCTGTATTATCTCTACTTTGATAATTTCTAGATTCTTCTTGTTTTCTAATCTAATTTCTCTTTCTGGCCAGCATAGAGCTTCTGTGTAATAAACTCTTTTATACTGGGATATGACATGTATGCATAAAAGTGCACAGAACAAAAACACAGTTCAGTGAATTATCACAAAGTGAAAACACTTGTGAAACTATCTTCTAGGTTAAAAAAGAGAGTATGACCAACATGCTAGAAAGTCCCCCTTGCATAAACTTTAAAAATTTCCCTTTTTATCAAGAAAGAAAAAAAAGATAGTTCATTTGCATTTTGAGACAATCACTGAGCAAGCAGGTTTGTTACAGAGAGTAATTGTATTACAGTATATTAGTGTCAGTGCCAAAATTTAGCGTTTTTCCTCCCTCTGTACCATTTACCTCCTGCTCTTTTCTGGTGACTTTAAAATAAAAGGATTTTATAAAAATTAGAACATTGTAGTATTGCAGAATAGAAACTAACAGAATAACTGAAAATGGACTAAGTAGTAGATTCAGAACTTTTATAATCACCATAAGTAGTATGCAGATATATCAAAGTGAAACAGGAATTAGAGATTATTTAAACAGAAGTAGAACATGTGACACTCCACTCCGGTACTCTTGCCTGGGAAATCCCATGGATGGAGGAGCCTGGTAGGCTACAGTCCATGGGGTCACTAAGAGTCAGACACGACTGAGCGACTTCACCTTCACTCTTCACTTTCATGCACTGGAGAAGGAACTGGCTACCCACTCCAGTGTTCTTGCCTGGAGAATCCCAGGGACAGGGGGCCTGGTGGGCTGCCGTCTATGGGGTTGCACAGAGTCGGCCACGACTGACGTGACTTAGCAGCAGTAGCAGAACATGTGAAAGGCAGAAGGTAACCAAGTTCAGATTTTGAATTAGAGTAAGATATCAAAAATATTATTTCTAGTGGAGAAAGAAAATGTAGAATACAGAGTGCAATATATTTTCACTTCCTTTGAGATTCTCTTTTAAAGGAAATATCAGTGGACTCTTAGCTAATTGTCAAGAAATACCTTGTTGCTGAACCTGCCCCCCCCAAAATCCTTGATTTTCTTAAGGGATTCTCTAACATCATTCTTCATCATCAAGCCAGCTGAGCACAAATGAGAATATCAAATTTAAATTTTCTTTTGACTGTTATTTTTTCTTTTTTATAGACTTCCATATTAGAGAACACAATGCCATTTTAAGACCTTTAAATAAAAATTAATTCAATTAGTTGAAGAATAAATTTGTTATAGTTGTGTGTTAATAGCTATGGCAGTTTATTAGGAAACCATAAAATATTCTTAGTAGAGTCATGTAAACAGGCAGTTTGAATGAGGTTCCATGTTGGCCCTGCTGGGAAGTAAAATTAGAAATGGTAATGATTTTTCTGGTCAACCGTGAGGTATGGAAGAACAGCTATTCCAGTGGTGTCATCTATCTTGCCTCTGATTTACTCCTTCTGAGTAAGAAAAAGCCTGGACTAGAGAGCACAGGGGAGATCATAACTTGACCATGAGTTATACAGTATGTTGCTGTGAGTGCAGTGATGCTTAAAAAGACTAGGGAGAGACAGGAAATTTAGCTGTGGCATTGGCATAAGAGGCAAGAATGAGAATTTAAAGTGTCATTCAATGTCTTCATCTACAGGGAGAAAATCTGAAGCCATTCATATAGTGTCTGTAGGTAGAGATTGTTAATGGTTCCCACATAACCTGTTCCTCTTCACCATCCCACACCGTGGACTGCATGACTCTAATGTACTCCCATTTGTTTTTGTAATTGGGAGAAGGATTCCTGTGACGATCCCTTTCCAGAAATAACCAAGTACTAAAACTCATTTAGATATCACCTAAATAGGGTTGGACATGACGTGGCAACTAAACAACAAGGACAAATAGGGTCTAGGATTTCTCCTGCATTGGCAGCTGGGTTCTTTACCATTAGTGCCACCTGGTAAGCCCTGGATCTAGGATTTCTATGCAGTAGTCTATCTGCAATTCTGCCCAGTACTTAAGACAATTAAATGCATTTTTCTTAACAACAAAACCCTGACCATTACTAATAAATTAATTCTGTGTTAGGCTCTATGGTGTGGTGATTAAGGGTTTATTAAGGGTGATTTTAGATTGAATGTCAGTTCAACAGTGGAGACAGGACTTCTGAAAATGTGTCTCTTCCATAAAAGCAACAGGAACACTTGCAAAAATTGTCAGAATAACTTTGCTGGAGCTCAAGAAATTCATCAAAGGCCTGCAGTAATTTGGAAAGTGTACATACAAGAAAAAAGACTGGATATTATTAATGTCAGTGCATTTTATAGTGTTTAAGCTTGAACTACTCACCACCCTCCGTCTTGAGCTCTACAGTAGCCTTGAAAACCTATAGCCTAGATGTGCAATGAAAATCAGAAGTGGGACAACCACTGGAGGGAGTAGAAGAGGGCTGGCACTCCTTTAGAACTCCATTCCCAGAGAGTTTTCATTATTTAACCTATTTGGTAGTTTCATGGAGGACCCCACTTAAAAGGCTATCTTTTAACCTGACTTGGAGCTTTCCCAGTATGAATAACCTTTGATCTAGGGGTTTTGTCCAAAACAGTCAGAAGCAGTTGTTGAACATTGCACCTCTCTGATACAATAGATAACAGTTGGGGCAAAAACTAACCAAAACATTTAAAAGGAACACCTGTGGAATGAGGTTTCCATAATGGCTATGAAAAGTTTCATGGGAATTTAGGTGGCTAAGCACATGCATAGGACTGTGTACGTGCCTAGGGCTATGCTCAGTAAAGACCTGAAGAGATCCTGATTTCTTATCTCAGGATAACATTCAGGTTTTGTGTGAGCAGGGTAAGGCAGAGTTCTAAGCTGCCTAGCTGAATGTTGTAGGTATGCTTCAATGTAAGCACTCAATGACCCTTGACAAAGACTGGGAGAATTACTTTTTTCAGGCATGTAAAGATATATGCCTCCAATCATTAGCTGTTTATTAAGCTAAGTGAGCAGAGGTTTCCATGGTCACCTGTGACAAAGAATACAAACTTTCAGAATTAATTCAGTAATGTCCTAAACAAATAGCAACTATAAGAATCAGCAGCACCAGTAAATCCTGGGGAGAGAGAGAAAATCTAATTTTCAGAGTTGCCATGTTATATTATTTAAAATTTCTGGTGTTCTATATAAGATTTTGAGACATGCAAAGAAATAACGAAGATATGACCCATACATGGGGAAAGAAGGAATCTGTAGAAACCTATCTCTGAAAAAATCCAGGCATTGATATTGCTAGACAGAATTTTTAAACTGTTTTAAATATGTTTAAAGACAGAAAGAC